GTTTATTATATTATTTTTATTATAATATATATTATATTATTAATATTATATATTTTATTATATATTATTATAATATATATTAAAATGTTAATTATTAATTAAAAGTATTTATGAATTATTTGATTAGGTACTTGGACCACCTTTGGCGTTGGGGGATGCGGCAACGAAGAAACCGCCGAAGCTGTCGTTGCACTTGCATACGACAGTGGCATCAATGTGTTCGATTTGAGCGAAGCGCATAGCGGTCATCGTGCTGAAATACAATTCGGTCGGATTTTATTGCGCCGTGCATGGAATCGTTCGAGCTACGTCGTAACGACCAAAATATATTGGAACACGAAGTAAGACAAATTTTCTAATACACATACACACATACACTTTTTCTTTTAATAAGTGGGTGTGCCTCATATATATATATATATATACGAAATAATTCAAGAATATTTTTCCTATTTTTCAAATTTGTTGATTATTTTTGATCAAAATTAATTTTATCCAAAATTTTCATCATTTTGTTGCATTAGATTAATCTTTTTATCATTTTCTTTATTTTATGTTCTTTTATCGATTTTATTTAATGACAAAAATCCTAGAAATTTTGATAACTCAATGTTTGAAAACTTGCTCGTTATCTCAAACGTGGACTTTTAAACGATACGGTAATTAAATCGAGAGAAAAGGGATACCCTACTAAAGCTGTTGCACGCTCGCTCAAAAGTTAACTCCGTAATTGACTTTGGAAATGTACGAGAGGAAGAAAGAAGAGAGAGAGAGAGAGAGAGAAAGATGTCTATGTGTATGCGAGAACGCGAGTATAGTACCCACGAAGGTGTCGATTTTAATTAGGGCACAGTTTTCGTCTGACACACTGTTAGGAAAATTCGTTTTGATCCTGCTCGTAACCCGGAAAAAACTTCCAAGAGAAAAAAAAAAGCTTTACAAGTTTCCATATTACTATGATGAACGATATTGACTTTTTTTTTTTTAAATATTTTCTATGCATCCTTTTTGATTTTTTTCTCCTCACCTTCTGCACGTTTTTCTTTTTTAATCTTTGTTAATAATATTTGTATACGTATGGTGATATGAAAGAAGAACAAAAAAATGTGATAAAAGATAAAAATATTCTACTGCATAATAATGCAGTAGCATCGAATTATCGAGAAATTTGATGGGAAAATTTTGTTAACAAACAACAACAACAATAACATTGCGTTGTACGTAAAATGAATTTTCTTTTAACACTCTGAATGCCACGTCACCCGTATTGGAGTGTCGCTTATTTGACTACTTGCGAAGGATATTCGTATGTGTTTGAAAAAATATTTATTTCGCAGAGGAAGTAACAAAACTATTGAATATTAATTAATATAAAAAAACTATATTTATTAATATAAACTATTGTTATAGAAGTAATAGAGATAACGGTTTTTGAAGAAAATTATTATGAATGTAAAACTTTAAAACAATCTATACAAACCTTGGGTTGGTCGGGACAACTTGGACAATAAGTTGTTGTTTTCTTTAAACTCTCTCGTGTCTCTGATCGGCTCATTCGACTTCTTTTATTTGCATAACATTGTTTGCATGCGTGTCTAATGCTTTCTCCGGAATCATTTTTCCGAACGGCTATATTATGCTGACTCCGACGAAAACAAGGATTTGTTGTATTGTCAGTCAACCCTAATAATTTTGCAACTAATAATTCCCTAAATCTTCTAATATTTGCATTCTTCTTTGTTGCAATTTTGTAAACCGTCAAAGCGTTTACAACAGAAATTCCCAAAAGTAGTTGAATGCCAAGCTTTCGGTACCACTTGATTCTTCTTTTAATTGTGGTGGCATTAGAAACCATTTGGTCGGAATAATCTATACTACACTTTCCTGCTATATATTTAACAACAACTAGTGGTTTTAGTGTTGTAGATGTCTGTTGGCTTGGAGAAACAGCACGAATGTTACGATTATTTTTTTGTACATGGTACTATGATAGGAGCGTGTTTTGTAGATAGAAGTCCTAGGAATTTTGTTATTTCTTCAAGATTAGTGGCTTTCCACTTATGCATCCGTGAACACGGTGTTAGGTTAGATCTATTTAACTTTTGTTCTGCATATCTATTTGTTTCTGATACAAGTAAGTTTATTATTTCGTCATCAACGAACAGCTCAAACACATCATATGAATTAACATCACCTGGTAATTGCCTAATGAGGCCGTCCGTCTCAAAAAAAGAAAATGACTTCTGCCAATCACTAAATTCATTGCATTCACCAAATTCAATTATATTTTCTTCGGTATCATCAATTCTTCTTTTTTCATCAATGACTAATTCTTGCAAAATCTCGTCAATGGAATTTTCATTACATTCAGTATCACTACGATTGCACTCATCAATATTCGAATCGGAATCAGACGATGTAATTTCTATTAACATTTCTATTTCTAGGAAATCTGATTTCTTCCTCATCGCCGGCAATGTAAGCCTTGTAAAAAAAAAAATATGCTAGTCGCAAATGTGTTAAAATATCGATCGGAATATTCAACAGAATACGCTTCGTGGCCTGAAGGATATTTCACTGAAAACGCGCGCGGCAGTCAGAGTGTTAAACCATTCGCGATAAATTCGTTCGGGTTACATACCTTTTTTTTTTTAAATCCTTTTAACGAATATAAAAAAATACATATAGAAAAAAAAGATAACAATGTTTAATATAAACAATTGAATATAATTGAAGATACGATAAGTGTATATATTATAAAGTGGTCCTAGAGAAAACAATAGAGAAAAGAACTAGAAAACAATTCGTGAATATAACGAGGAGTAGTTAGCCCACGTAAAATACATATCTATATGTATATATATTTATTAGTTATAAATAACTATAATATTTAGTTCATTTAAACTAAATTTTTATAATTAGTATTAAATATAAATACTAATTATAGTATTTATATAGTTATAGTATAGTATAAAATACAATTTATTAATGTAATTTATTAATTTATTAAATATAAAAAATAATAATAATTTTAATAAATTTAAAAATAAATTAATTTATTAATATTAAATTAATTACATTTATTAATGTAATAAATATACATACATGTATTACAAACATATACATGTACATATATATATATATATATATACAAAGAGATATGCTCTCCTCGTTCTATTCGATACCAAGTAGAACGCATTCCAGTGGTGTAAACGCGTTCGATCGTACAGCTTAGGGGTTGAAAGTAGTACGACCGAATGTTAGGTCGCACGCGCTGCTAACCACAAACGTAAGTATGCGTGTATATATGTAAGAACCTATGTATATAAGTAGTAATATATGTACTGTGTACATATACAATGTATGTCAAATCGAATATACGAACAGAATATGAAATGTGTTAAACCATTCACCATACTTACGTTTGTGTTCTTCGAAAATGGTGTAAAATAAAATACAGAAAGAGTGAGAACATTGTGTTTCTCTTTCTCTCTTTTTCTTTCTATATACGGCTTATCTATCTGTCCTATTTGTCAGTGTCTGTTCATCTGTCTGTCCGTTTAATACTTTTTCTCACACTTATGCTTGAAAAGCTTTGCCAAAGCTTATTGTTGTCCACGAACTGTCCAGTTTAAAACGTTCTACCACGTTCTACCTCAGTGAGGTAGAATTCGTTTCAATACACAAGCCTTTTCTCGACAAAAGGTATGAAATACTACTATGTACATGTATATATATATGTACACATATATACTAGCAGAGAAAAGAACACGACAAAAGGAGGTCGCGGTTGAATGCGATCGATGTGTGAGAAAGATTTTACTTGACTATTTTTTTTCTGTTGTTTTTTTTTTTTCTATTTTTCTATTTTTCTCGCTTCTATCTTTATTTCACACGCATATGCCTATATGCACCCTTGTGTTTCTTTGCTATTAACTTTTATCTTTTGTTTCTATATTTTTTCTTCACGTATGATTGTTTGGAAACAATGTAGGTGAAGGGTTGAATAAAATCCAATGATTTTTGTATAGAAAAATATAAAAAAGAAAAAAATTATTTTCTCGACGATTAACTCGTTACCTTGCCACGTGTACCATCGGTGGTACACGTTGATTTATTTATTAATTGTGTTGAAACTAATCAAATGATTTAGAATGAGACAAATTCAGATAAAATGATTTATCATTGAACGTTGTTCAAAATTTATTGCATACCAGGTATCTCTCTCTCTCTCTCTCTCTCTCTCTCTCTCTCTTTCTCTTTTTAATTTAATTACGTTCTCTTTTTCTTGATTTGAATGTGTAAATTTTTATCAAAAACAATGTGTTTTATATTAACAATGATCAATTTCTTTTTAAACGTAATGTTTAACCCATTGACTGCCAACTACGAGATATCTCGTAGCGTGTGAATCTGCAATTTTAGATTAATTACAAATGGTTATTTGCGTTAAGAGTTATTAAAAAGGTTGAATAAAGTATTTATATGCTATAAAAAACATGAATTATCAATTATTGTAAATACCATTACAATATTATATCAGTTACTTAATATTATTATATTAGGTTGGCAAGAAAGTAATTTTGGTTTTCTCTAGTGTGAAATAAAACTCTATTGTTTCTATAGAAAAAATTGAACTTTAAATTAAATAACTAAATTTTATTAATTCTCTGTGAAAAATAGTAATTAAAAAAAAATTTATAATTAAATAATAAAAGTTTAATTATTATTAAATAAATATATATATATTTTATATATATATAAAAATTTAAATATATTATTTATTATTTGAAAATTTATAAATTTTTAATTATTATTAAAAATAATAATAATAATAAATAATAATTAAAAAAATAAAATAAAGTTTAATTTTCTAAAACATATACTTTAAATTAAATAATTAAAATATTCTAACATTAATAAAAGAACTAAACTAGGGTAATAACGAAACAAACATAACACTATCTATTGGTGTAAGCTGAAACTACTTTCTGGTCAATCCAATATTTTTTCAAAATTTAAGGCAAGACGCTCTAAATATGTCTAACAGTCGATGGGTTAAAGATCTAATGTTGTGGAATTCTAATTTATTAAAAAATAAATCATTTTCGACAGGACAGAGGGTCGAGGACTATCGCGTAAGCACATTATCGAATCTGTGCAATCGTCCTTGGTCAGACTGCAGCTGTCCTACATCGATATCGTCATGATTCACAAAGTCGATCCAATGTGTCCGATGGAAGGTAACAAATCTTTTCATATTTTATCGATTACACCTGCTCACTTTGTTTTCTTTTTTCTTTTTTTCGTATGACTCTCAGAACTCTGTATTACAATTACCAATCGACAAAATTTCAATATTATATTTGAATAATATTTTTTACTACTAATTGTAAATCTCTGTTATACATCAAATATAACAAATTGAAATAAAAAAATCTTTATACGAGTATATTAAAATCTCGTAAATTCGTAAAGATTGTAAAAAAGATGGGGCAGAGGTGGGGAGTGGGAAGATTGTGTATAAGAGGATCGTAAAATTACGCACGAATGCGTTCTAAATGTGAGATATAAATACGTAATACTTGGTAGAGGTATAAATAGGTCTCTTACTTTCAATGAGAGAATTTCTTCCGGTATATATACTTTAAACCATTCCCCTTTTTACATTTCAACGTGAAATTATCTATTAAAAGATTTCGAAAAAAAAATAAATCTTTTCCACGAGATAAAATAATATTTGAAAAAATTTCCAAATAATCATTGTGACACTTTTCATAAAAATACGATAATGACAATGACGAAACAAAGACAAGTAGAACGACAATAACTGATATATATATATAAATATATATATAATAATGATAATAATCTTTATAATTTCTTAACATTTATTTACACGTTCTCTTTTCAGAGATAGTACGAGCTATGAATTACGTGATAAGTAAAGGTTGGGTAATGTACTGGGGTACGTCAAGATGGTCTCCCGTTGAGATCATGGAGGCCTATACAAATTGTCGACAATTTAATTGTGTCACGCCGATTGTCGAACAAGCGGAATATCATCTTTTCTATAGAGAGAAACCTGAACTATATATGCCAGAATTGTACAATAAAATTGGTAAATTTCATTGAACTAAATAATATTTCAATTGAAACATTTTGTAAACATTAACTCGTTAATCATCCAAAATTATTGATTTAAAAAAAAAGGAACACCTAAATAAGGGCAACTATATTTAACGTTTTCTTTTCTTTTTTGTTCAAACACTCTTTTAGGTGTCGGTTTAATGGCATGGTCCACGGTCACCATCGGAATGGTGTCATCCAAGCCGGAAGATTGCGGAGTGTCCTTCCTCTCGAGGTCCTCTTACAAGGTAAACTCGAGCTCACTATATCGACCCTTGGTAACTAACCCCCTTAAAAAAATACTCTATCACTTCTTGCTCCTCTTTCTTCTCATATTTCCTATACTTCCTTAACTACTTCTACTTCTACTTCTACTTGTATTACTTCTTTCTCTATCGATTCAGATAGTTATTAATTTAATTTCAGAATAAGTATTCTTCCTTCAGTTGGACGGAAGATGAAACGCAGTCTTTGTATAAGGAGGTGCGTTTTAATCGTTAAATGTTTAGATTCTTGTATTTTTATTACGGTAGGATCGAATGTGTTAGATGTTCGTGGATATAACATTTATAAATTAGAAAATAATAAATATGCGTATAAATAAGGGAATATTGAATAATATAAATCGTGTGTTACATTTTGTAGGAATACGCTTGGAAGGATAAATCGGCTGACGAGGAAACACGAAAATATTCGGATAAATTAAGGGACGTCTGTTCACTTGCCGAAAGGCTAGGATGTTCCTTCGGACAATTAGCCATCGCGTGGTCTCTTAAGAATGAAAGTGTTCAGTGCCTTCTCCTCGGTGCGTCAAATACAGATCAACTGTACGAGAGCCTTCAGAGTTTACAGGTAAAATAATATTTACAAGTCACGATTAGCCTAAGAAAGAATGAGATAGAATATATTATATAATTTTTTCCTATTCTCGATCTCCACTTTGTGCGATGCTTTGTAGTCTCTACTTTAAATATAAAATTAAAGTTTAATTTTTATCATTATTTATATAATACTACGCCTGTAGGTATGCAACCCTCCAGACACACTTTGAAAATGTTGCTTGCAAACGCCATCTGTTGGGACGGAATTTTTGTTAAGCCCAAACTGTTTATACACGCATGTATTACGGGTTGCCTATCTTTCGAGCAGAAAAATAATTCCGTCCCAATAGATGACGCTCGCAAGCAACATTTTCAAAGTGTGTCTGGAGGGTTGCATTCGTACAGGCGCACATTTTTTCTAATTATTGAATAAATAATTAGAAAAAAAAGTAAAAATAATATCATAATAATATTATATAATAAATTAATTTATTTTTGATACTGTGTACTCATAAATTTGCTTTTTTTAAGGTTTTACTGTTAACATGTGTGATCTGCACACAAGTTTTATTTTTCTTTTTCTATTTATTTTGTCTTCATAGATAAAAATAATAAACGTGTTAAAACATTTAATAATATGTAAACTTATTAATGAGATAATCTTTGAATTTCAGTTAATCCCAAAGCTAAACGCAACCGTAATGAGCGAGATCGAGAGGATACTCGATAACAAACCGTCCCGGCCACCGATGGTGTCGACTCTGGCACTTAGATGACAATCGATTTGCCCCCCCGGAAGTGGTGGGGGCTCTTTAGATGAGGGTGGTAGCCCCAAGAGCGAGGGTGGTAACAGCCAAGATCAGGAACAAACAAAGGAGATGAACAACAAGTTGTCATTCTGCGAGATACAATGAACACGGAAGGATGGAATCAGTGATATGACGATGATGATAATGATAAAATAATGATAATGATGATGATGATGATGATGATGATGATGACGCAAATGCAACACACGCACGACGCATCGATTTATGATACACGTTTAAACAAATAATAATAATAATATTAATATTAATAATAATGATATCCATGCTTCGACGCCACCGGATATGTGATATAAAAATAAATCTAAGAAGAAGAGAATTAAATAGAAGAAAACAAGATTGATGATGGAAGAATAAAGAAGAACAACAAATAATTGTTGATTATGTTTTGTTGTTCCGGTGCACGTTGTCGTCATAATGGGACATTTAAAACGAGTTGATGACAATACCTTCGATTTTGCCGAGAAAGTTCTATTTCTTTCTCTCTTAGATACCTACACACACATATTCAGTACACATACATTTGTCTTTTCGCGCATTTATTGCCTTTCTCTCTCTCTCTCTCTCTCTCTCTCTCTTCTTTCACTTTCTTATTTGCTTTCTTTCTCTCTCTCTCATACACACACACACATATATACTCTTTCGTATACTCGTTCGTAAGAGTTTTCGATAAGAGAAAAATCAAATTTAAGAGATAGAAAGAGAAAGAGAAAGAGAGAGAGAGAGAACAACAAAAATGACGATATCACATTCGAGTAACACTTATTCTATTAAAAAATAATAATACTGATTAATGATGATGATGAAGATTATGATTATAATGATAATGATGCTGACGATGATGATGATGACGATGATGATGATGATGATGATGATGATGATGCTATTATTGCTGCTGCCGCTGCTGTTGCTGCCGCTGCTAATCAATAAATTAATCTTGCCGCTGCTTTATTTTTCAAATATTTTTCTAAATCGCGACGAACTTATGAAAGCAAAAAAAATTCCGTCTGGATGAAATAAAATAAAAAAAAAAAAAAATGAAAAGAGAAGTTACATAAGTATCGAAGAACTATGGAACGACGGAATGAAAATAAATTTATTAGAAAAAAAGAAGAAAAAAAAAAAGAAAAAGAAGAAAAAAAAATTAAGAGAAATTATTATTATTAAAACGTAGATCATATTGCGATTACGTCCGACTCTTATACTATAATAATAATAATAATAATAATAATAGTAATAATAATAATTACTATAATTATAAATTGTCATTATTATTATTATTGTTATTAATATTAATATTATTATTATTATTATTATTACGATGAAGATGATGAAGAAGATGATGATGATGATGATTATTATTATCGCTTTATAAAAAAAAAAAAAAAAAAAAAAAAAAATTAAAACGATATAAAAATAAGAAAATAAAAATTTCAATGAAAGAAGTTCATTAAATTTAATAAATGCGATTAAAATAAATTTGGAAGAGCCGTGAAAAAAATTCAAATGAATTATCTTAGTAAACATTTGTGACTCTAGAAAAATTGCTATGATTTGATTATAAAAAAAAAAAAAAAAATAGAAAGGGGAATCGTATTGTTATTTACAAGATAAAGAATAACAAAAGAGAGATAGAGTGAGAGGAAAAAAGAGTTTAAACAAAAAAATAATAATAATAATGAAGAAGACAACGTTTGATTGTCATTTTCGATGCCACAACAACAACAACGTTGATAATTATTATTATTAAGCTAATTAAACTACCACATAGTTTCCTATATAAATCGAAAATATTCCTATTAATCAAATTGAATGAACGCTAAGGGATGATTTTAAAAATTGCGTTTTGACATGATTAGATATATAAATAAATAAATAAATAAATTAATTAATTAATTAATTAAATCTATATATATATATAAAATAAAATAAATTAATTGATGCGTAAGCTCGTTCCGAGCTATAATTATATATACAATTATGTAAATACACGTATAACGAAGGTGGTGGTGGATGGTGGTGATGGAGGATGATATTTTGAGAAAAGGAAGAACAAGATTTTCACTAGAAAGTCGTTATGGGAATGATAGAAGAAAAATATTTAAATTATTATTATTATGAATAAAATTAAGAAGAAGACGAGGAGACGAGGAGAGACGCCCTTTTTACTTTTCAGCGTCAATAAATAAATGATATGAGATAAAAAAGAAGAAGAAAAAAGAAAAATAATATACCATCGTTCGAGTATAAAAAATAATTAGGACCAAGTTAAGTCTCGTTCATAATTCTCAATACATTTACGTACCTCCTACATACGTAGCAAAAAAAAAAAAAAACCCAAGCATAACAAGAGAGATCCAATTTTGTCTTTTTTGTTTTTCTTTCATTATTTTTAAATAATAATAATAATAATAATAATAATAATAATAATAATAATAATAATAATAATAATAATAATAATACACACGCGCTTTGGATATAAATTCAGATATTACTTCCCCCCCATCCCTCCTTAGCTTAACCAGTCCAACAAAGATAGGACGATTACTTAAAGAAGAAAATGATGAAATGAAGGAGAATGTTTACTTTGAAAAAAAAAAAAAGAAAAAAAAACGGAAGAGATTATATGATTAGGAGGGGGAAAGTGAGGAAAGGGGGACAGTAATAACGATATCACGTTATTTAAGTCCAAATTTTGGTTAGATTAGATTAGTGATATATATTTGAACACGGCTAAGTTTCTTTTATGACAATTTTTAGAAGTTTCAAATAATAACAGATTACTGAAAGAAATCATAAAAACTATAAAAAGAAATAATGCAAAGTAAAAAGGTAAAAATAATAAAAAAATAAAAAAATGAAAAAAAAAAAAATAAAAAGAAAAGAAAAAAAAACGGTGGAAGAAGATGACAAAAATAAAGAAATTAGAAGAAGAAAAAAATTAAATTGGTGAAGAAGATAAGTTAATATATTTACAATTAGTATAATTTTTTGCCTTTGAAGAGAGATGTATATATATATATATATATATATACTTTGACTTATATACTTACATATAATGTAAAATACGTATACTTATACATATATCTTGCCTGCCTTGTCTCTCTCTTTCTTTCTCTCTCTCTCTCTGCTGCTGATTGCTCACGTCAAAGTTTAACTAACATGGAATAATTGTTGCATGTTTAAAAAAAAAAAAAAGGTTATTTTTTTCTTTTATAATAATATATTATTAAATATATATAAAATATATATAACGATCGTTGCTAAAAAGGAAACGATCAGCGTGATAATTGCTCGCTTTATCATTAAAATATTAATCCATTCGCGACCGGCATATTTTTTCCTTTTTTAATACTGAGTAGCGGCAAAAATGATGAATTATTTCAATTTATATTTAAATAATAAAATATAAATTATTAAAATTTAAAATGACGTGAATCACGTCAGCGGTCGCGAATGTGTTAAATTACGATGTTATACAGGGATGTATTCGAAATATTTTTGGTGTAAAATTGAAAAACAATGATCGTATGAAAATGTAAATATTAGTCGAACAAAGTTAATCACGAAGGTAACGTAAATGTGAAAAGGAAACAAAATTGTTTGTAAAATTGAATGAGATAAGTAATTGACGAGATAACTTAAACAAACTATTAGTTTTTATGATACTTCTTCGACTTAGTTTTTACAATAGAACAAAATTTCATCACCATTTTTAATCGGATACATTCTTGTACGTAAAAAAAAAAAAAAACCAAAAAAAAAATATTATCCGTCACTCAAGTTGATATTTCTATTTTATATATCGTTTTACACCTCCTTTACACGAATAAATTGTTCCGTCGAACGTGAAAGAAGGAACGAAATGAGGAAACAAAATGAAAAGGATAAAGAAACAAACAAACAAACAAAAATATTTACAAACGAACAAAATAAGGAAAACGTTCGTCGAACGGTCATGAGCGAAATTTGTGGTCTTTTTTTATTTTTTTTTATTTTTTTTTAACAAAACTTTATTCAAAGTTTCACATGTATTTTACTATTTTTCTATCATTCTATTTCTATTTTACTCTTTCTCGCATTACAACATCACGCTGATATACTCGTCCATCATGTTCGTGCACCAACAAAATCCAATCAAATTTGATTGCTCTTATAAACAAAAATTGAATTAACATTAATATTATTAATATAAATACGTTTTTAAATGCATTCGATATATACTATAAACTTATCAAATAAATACCTCTCCCTCTTATTAGGCACTGAGATTTACACCTACTTCAAATATTCAATTACATTACGCAGATATGTCGAATATAATTAGGTGACTGATGAATTTTTTCTTTTTTTTTCATTTTTAATTATTTTTTTTTTCTTCTCTTTCCTCTCATTTATTAAATTATGACGAAAAAAAAAAACCGAGTCAAGATCTTCCTCCCTTCGTTGCCATCGATTACGAAAGAATGAAAAATAAAGGATACTATTTATTATTATGAAAAAACTAATCGAGAGAATATTATTTATTATTATCCTTCTTATTTATTTAATGACAAAAATCAATTTGTAGAACACATATATATTTGCGAGAGGATTTATTATTATTAATAATAATAATAATAAAAAAAAAAAGAAAAGCAATTAAAGATCAAATTAAATTTAATCAAGAATTTAATGCAAATATATATATTTTTTTTAATACTGTTCGTCTATGCGGAAAATGTTGAGAAAATGTTTTTTCAATTGAAATTATTGTGTCTTTTGTTTCCCTTTTTTAAAAGGGTTCAAACTAACACACCTTTTCTCACATACTTGTTCAATACTATCAAAGAAGTCGCGTCTTTTTATCACCTCGTTGAAAACACATTGAAGTATACGGTTTCCCCCCCCCCTAAATGGGTCACCAATCCCATTTATACTAAAACACGTGAATTAAATCGTGTTGATTACTTATAATTCAAAAATTATATTAAACATTATCTTATATCTAAGGTAAACTAATTTGTTTAGTTACTCTATTTCGAGTATACCCTGAGTATTATTTGTTATTCGTCTATACTTAAAATAAAACTCAAATATACAACATATATACATAGCAAGCATGCACACACACACATACACGCGCGCAATCTGTTATATAAATAATTATTTTTTTTACTTTATTTTGTATTCACTTTCATTCTCTTTTTCTCCCTGTCTTTCTTTCTATCACACAAACACTCACACACATTCGTTCAAGTTATTAATTGACTTCGAGAATGTTTTTTTTTTTTTTGGCAAACTATCGAGGGCACATTGGTAAATTAATTTGATAAAAAACGTTCAATTCAACCGATATTGCAAATATTAAAAATATTACATACATAACTAGACAAACCGCGCCAACTTTTTTGTTTAATTTAAATTTATAAAATGCCGTGACCGAATAAAAAAATATAACGCATACGATGATAGATAAAACACTGTATGATAGTGCACCGGATATGATTTCAATATCTTTGCCGGACATTAAAGATTTGATCAACCATGGTAAACCCAAACAGAGAAGAATATCAAGTGTGTTGGCACCCAACGTGTTGCTCATGGCCATGTCACCGTTACCTAAACAAAAAAGAAATCTCTGCTGATACTTCGAAGATTTGTTTTTTTTTGTTCGTTAGATCTTACGAAGAAGAGATAAGATTAAAATAAATGACAGAAAAAGATATAAATTTAATGAATTAAAAACAAATAATAATAATAATAATAATAATAATAATAATAATAATAATAATGAATCGTTATTTTTTTCTACCTTGTCTTGAAAGGATGACGATCGAGACGAGTTCAGGCATGTTACCACCAGCCGATAGAAAAGTTATTCCCATAACTGAATCAGGAATACCCATGGTGTCACCAACGACGGTCATCATCCAAGATACCATGTAAGAAGACACTACTATCCACATGGTGCAAACGAAAAATGTTACGAAGTACCACGAACGAAATCTTTTGTACCTGGTATCAGGTATTGTGACAAATAATGAAATCCTTAATGGCCAGGTAAAGTAAAACCATAGTTTCGTGAGTAAATTACCTGTTGGTAATACGAATGGTGTATCTGAAAAAAAAATATATATTATGAAAAGAAATATTATTTGTGAATAGAAAAATGCGTTAACACATTTTTGGGGATGGAAATTTGATGAAAACTTCAAGAAATTTACCAGGTTCAACATAATCAACCAATTCCTCGGTTTTTTCTGGTGGTTCTTCGAAATTCTTATTGGTCGATTTAATTTCGGCTATCATGGTGATACTCTTTTTTCTATATTCGGCTATCAATTCACCATGAACGTATGGTTTGTACATGCCGTGTAACATCGGTTCGGTCGTCGGTTTAGCAGCAGCTATAAAAACAATAACAAAATTCATAACGATAAATTTATATATTTCATTTCATTTGATCTCATAGCATATGAGAACAAATTTAATAAAAAATAGAAATCAAAAATGATATTTAAAATGAAATAGGGGTGGACTTAAACTCACCACTTTCTTCCGTAAATTCGGTACCGTTCCAACAAAGATGTTTGATCTTGTTATACCAACGTGTTATCCCTTCGCCGGAGAACAGAAGGACCAAATAACCAACGAACAATACTATGAAGACCGTAGCTTCGTACCAGGTGATCAGACCGTCCCACATAACCAATACCAACAAACCAACGGATATCACGTAGATTATGCAATCGCGCGACAGTATTTGCCATTCTAGCTGTATACCCTGTTGAACATTTTTTGCGATAAAACATAATAATTAAAAAAAAAAAAAGAAAAGAATAGAAAATAAAGAAAAAAAAAAGTAAGAAACATTAGCCGTGAAATTTGGTTATAAATTATACACATATGTATTGCACTTGTAATATAATATACACACATACAGACACATACATATATATATATATATATATATATATGCATAAGGGAAAGAGGGAAGGGATGATAATGTATTAAAAAAGATATTGATAACGATTAAAAGCAATGTACAATACGTAAAAATTGTATATCTGACATAAGTGATATTCGATCGACGTGATTTTCGTGACGAAAAATGAAAAAGAGAAAGATAAAGAGAAAATTATTATTATCTTTTAAAATAATACGATAATGTGAGTAATAAGTGATTAATGTATAACAACGAGGGTTTGTAGAAGGAAACAAAAATATTTTCGTGCAACAATGATTAAAAGAAAATATACTTTGCGTGTTCAAATCACGAATGTCACGTCAATGTTTGTCAGCGAACGAATCGTTCCGAGACGAAGAAAAAAAAAATAGTAATGACAAATTGAAAAAAAAAAAAAAATATAAGAGGGGAGGAAAAAGAAAGAAGGAGAGGTGGTAAATACTGGGTGATGTTAAGAAAAGAAAGAAAATATAACAAACGAAAAAATGGTAATTTTGTTCACCCTAATTTACAATAATAATATTGAAAAAGTAATATTATTATACAGGTGTGTTCCTCCTCGTCCAATTTTGTTAAATATTATACCGGCATCAGAATCGTTAGTGTCACGAATTCGTTTCGTCGGATTTTATCGTCTCGGAGCAATAATAATAATAATAATTATTATTATTATATTAATAATAACGTAACACACGCACACAATGTCGACCGACATCGACCATAATCGTCGTACGTTGTCGTTGTCGTTGTCCGTCGTTGTCATTGTCGTTGTCGTTGTGGACATCATCGTGAATGATTATTATCTTAACACGGCTCTTCTCTCTAACGCGTAGTATATTATAAGAGATATGATAAAATAAGATTTACTTACGATAATTGGAATATCGATTATCAATTAGCAACCGTTTAAACTTTAACTCGACACCACACATTCTTTCGAATCCGTTCGTATGCAATAAAGAGAGATTTTGACTAATAACATCGAAAGAAAAATATTTTATTCTATTTACTATTATTATTTTCCTTCATTGGTCCTCTATTTTAATACCTGTTTAACTATTTTCTCTATTACACCTGATTTATTCCTATTTTTTATTTTATTCGATATAAATCATATTAAGTGCAACGCCTAGTGAGTCACATACAAGTGAATCATTGAATAGTCATTCGTACCTATTAATTTAAAAATAATTAATTTTTCTCTTACAAATTCTTATAGATAGAAATTTTTTTTGTTTATATTTTTTTCAAACAAGTTTCGTGTTTTTAAATAACACAATCAACTAATGTAACTTAATCAATTTGTTCCCCAGCTGTTTGTTTAATCGATTTGTCAAATGATCGGCTTATATATTATCATCATCATCATCATCATCATAATCATCATCATCATTATTATAAAAATAACATAAGTGAAGAAAAACCGAAGATATGTATGTATATATACACATACTTATTTACGCATGTTTATAACAATTATAACTAGTTTTGTGATAACGCAGAGGTGCGCATCTAACATTAGATTATGTTTTTTTCCTTTAATGAATCAATTATCGAAATATTATTATTAAAATAATACTTGGCTCATGTTGACGTAAACGATAAATGCTCTTGGCAAAAGTTATTTTTTCTTTTATCTGTGATTTTGCACTCGCAGATTAAATTTTCGAGTAAGATTAGATGTCCGTCGATTACGACGATCGAAAGATATCGGCAGACTCTCATTGAAAGAGAGAAAATGTTGACAATTGTCACATTTATTAATTGTACGTTTGCTCGTAATCTTTCAATAAAAAAAAAAAAATCAAAATGTTTAATCTATTTTCATTTTGAAACATTAATCGCGAATAAAATTAATTACGAAATATGCTCGCGTAAGATTTTATCGATGATAAAATTGAAAAGATTAAAGTCCGATCCCTAAAATTGAATGGAAATGAAATATCATATTCGATAACTGATAAAATCTTTTTTTTTTTTTTTTTTGTTACATTTTATAAGATTTCATGTCAATATATATAATTATATAACTATTATATAATTACGTCAATATGAACATATTTGAGGATATTGTATAGACGTTGCGTATATATTTACGTGTTTTCATACCTACTCGAGTATTATCTTATACATCGATAAACCCATAAATACATTTAAAAGTTAAAGAAAAAAACGTTTTTACCTGCTGTGCCTCTTATCTCGAAAAAATGTTAATGAGACAACAAAAAATAAAACAAAGGTTAACTATCTAATAAAAAATAATCGACCAAAGTTAGGAAGACTTTAAAATGTAACTAACATTATACAATGCGATAGTAAGCATTTTTGAAGTATTTTATGCTTGACCTTTAAATATTTAAATATAGAAAAGGAAAAGTTAAAAAGCAAAAAAAAAACGCTCTAAAAATACAATGAAAATTACGCACCTGACGATTATGTTAATAAATGATACATAATTTATCCAAGATAGTCGATGATCGTAAACAGCAGCTTTGTAAAATCCCCAATCGTCATTCAAGATAGTTCTAATGGGGGAATCCTATCTTTAAGTTTATTTACTTTGGATGTGAATTAACAAGAAAAATCGATCATCAATATTAATTGAAGTTATGATAATAGAAATTGAACAATGCGACTCCTTATCTCAAATTTGTTTGATTTAAACGAATTAACGAGAAAAATCGATCATAATATCTCTCATAAATATTCATTTGCAGTATAATAATCAGAGTTACAATAATGAACAAGCGTAATCAAGGCAGATGAATAATTATTAAAATGTCTTCTAACCGGTTTGGAAGTTAAGTCGACACATACGGTATAATTGTATTTTGTGAAAATACTATTAACATTATTTACTTATCTATTATATGAGCTTGTTAAAAGAAATTAAGTTACGTTCAAAATAATTGAAACAAAAGGAACGCTTTTTTTTTCTTGTAAAAAAATCTTAAAATATACTCACGTGTCGAGCTGAAAGTGCACCACACGCTGTTGTAGCAAATGTATTGAATACTGCACTACCAACCACGGTACCAACTCCAAGGTCAGATTCAGTTAAGAATGTACCAACCACACTGACGAAAAGTTCAGGAAAACAACTGGCCGTAGCAAGGAAAGTAGCTCCAGCAACATCAGCTGATATGTTAATTCCGGAACAAATGCAATCGAGTGCAGGTAAAAGGTAATCGTTGCATACGAAAGCCGTCAATAAAAAACAATAAAAGCCAAGGAATGCGTGTAAAATAACTGCCCCTTGTGCACGTTGTTCTGTCGTAAATATATCCTTTGGGAAGTCATTGATCGAACGTGGTGTACAATTTTCACTTTTTTCAATCCCATCATTCACGGATTCTAAAATAAGTAAATAATATATTTGATTTATTATTCCATATATGTATTATATATATATTTATGTATACTTTTTACATTTCTTAAAATCCGTTATGAAAAATATGCAGATGCAAATATGAATCTATGATTGCGTGGGACAATGGTTTATGCGGTTTTAGATATTTATAGTTGCATTGATGCATTTTCGTTGAAATATTTAACATCGTTTATCATTCTTTTATTTCTTTAGAACACACAATGCATTTTAACGCGTGTAAGATCTCCATTTCTAAGAAAATACTTTCTGTTTCAAAGGGTTCATTATTATTGTTATTGCGGTTAACGTGATAACGAAAATGTGTTTTTTTTTTTTTACGTTTAAATATATTTATTGAAACTTCTTAGAATGCAATTATCAGATTACTTTTTCTATATGCGAAATAAATGACAGAATAAAAATCTGACATAACTAATCATCGTTTAAATCTAATACGAAGATACCGATTCTAAACTATTCGCCATATCTGAATAATGCATCGATCCATTATGATCCACACATACACACACACAAAGATACATACAAATATACGGAAATACGATGCAACGCGGAAAAATTTCATCGTCCGGAAAAACTTTGGGTTTATTCAATTTTACACTATTTGCAATAATCCTTTATTTTGCATACGTTTAAAGAAAAAAAAATAATAATAATGATGATCTAAAATCTTCTTTCGGTATAGAATCTTTTCTTTTAGCATTCTTTTGTTTCACGAAACTATTTATCTCACAAGTATAATGTTAAATAAGTGCGTCTCGAATTGAAAATTATCCTTAACAATTAAGGAAAATAATAGAGAGACGAATTTTCTTTGAAAATTGGCATAATTTACACTGACAAATATTATTTTTATCACGTTAAAGAAATTTTGTAAATAATAATCGATATCATTTTTTTTTCTTTCAATGACAGGAATAACATTATCTTACGATTGGATTTACCCGCGTGATTTATCGAAGTTTACCGAAACTACAAATTCCAATGTTAACGATAATAATGATTACTCTATATCGATTATTTTCATCTGCTATTGGGATGACATCCGTCCTTCAATTGATTGATAATTCTAGTTCAATATTTATATATATATATATATAATTATGTTTTATAATAATTTATTTCTTTTTCAATTTGGCAAAACTCAAAAGACAAAATTTAATTCAAATTATTATTATTACAAAATACTATAATATAATTATAATTACAACTAACATTATATATATATATNTGATTTTCGCGTTTACGAAGACCAAAGGGATTCCTTATCTCGCGGGATTCGCATGTACATATATATATATATATATATATATATATATATATATATTTATATATTTATTTATTTCTTTTATTTATTAATTAAAAACAACATTTTTAAGGCGAGTAGATAAATGATAAAAAAAAAATATAAAAAATATCATAGATCTCTAGAGAATTTAACACTCACCAACATTGTCTATACTTTGAGCTTGCACTAATTGCAAGCACGTGGTTAAAGATACGATGCATACGATGCAAGTTACGATAAATCTCAGGCCGGTTGTCATAACTATCTAATGTAATATTTGTTATTTGATCTTTTAAAAAGATGTTACGATTTAACACACACACACACACAAACACGAATCCTTTGGTTGATTAATATGGGATGATTGATGATGATTGACACCGACGTTGAAAAAATAACCGACCACCAAACCGACTACCTAAGCTAAACTGCTTCTTTTGCAACGACTCCGGCATTTATGATAGAGTTAACTGATTACGATTCTCCCTCTTAAACCTCCCTTTCTCCCACCTCATTCTACTTCTTTACTATTAACTTGTATCCGTGAACAATTTTATCTTACGTGTTGTGTCATTGCAAAATAAAATACATGTATTGTACTAAAGTCTTTTAGGTGTAGATAACTTTGATTATCGATTATCTTATATGTGATTTAAACATTATGAAAGATCCGAATAGATTATTCTACTTGGTCAACTTTACCTACTTAAGTATATATATATATATATAATGTATTTATTACTTTCCCCAGGATTTATCTCAAACTCCCACCCCATTCTTGTATATCTTTATTCTTAATCTTGATATTAATTCGTGATTTCTCAATCAATTTGGATTTTAAACAAATACAATAGCAACGATTCTCAATTATAAATATATGTATATATTTCTTGATTTTTACATGGATAGAGAGAGAGAGAGAGAGAGAGAGAAAAAGAAGAAATATAAATAATTGTGACTTAGAATTTAATCGGTCGATTGGAGCTCGGAAATTCCATCGCGAAGGAATCTTTAAATTCAGCATCGACAACGTTTACACTTAATTAATTAAATCGGATGGAAAAGATAGATCGTTTTATATTATCGAAAATTACCAATGTATAATATCTACATTTAAATAAATACGAATATGTCATTTGTATACATTTACATCATCTAATCGTGTGTCATACACACACACACACACGTTAATTTAATAATTTTTTTTAAACGATATGAAGAGTATTCGTGTTAGAACTTTGATTATACGTTTTTGAAATTATTTAGGAAAATCATAGTTTTAATGTACAATTAAGGACATTTGATTATCTTTTAGCGTAAGGAAAAGGATTTGATAAGACTAATATGGTTCAAAAAATATAACTATAGATTATGTATGTTGTAGCTAGGATATTTCATTTGAATCATTGTGAAATACATTACATAGCTTTTTGTATTTTAATATGTTATTAATTGAGTCCAAGTTGGGAAGATATCAAAGGAAGAGAGAAAATATCAGAGAGCAGATAAATTAATATACCTGACATAAAATGCACAATATTTTGACATAAATAATAAGTATTTATGCATAGAAAATACCAAGTATATAAAATAAATATAACAGTAAAGAGTTATAATATCAATATTTAAGAATAAGTACGTAACAACGAAAAGCAGATAATGTATTTTTAATTACAAATTATAACTTGTTTAGTTTTCCATTGTTTTCATTTTTTTTTTTTTTTAAATAAATATAATAGAATTTAAATAAAAAGTGTATACGTTTGGAAGATTTGTTTATAATCTAGCATTTGTGCCTACATGATTGACGTTTCAATTATCCTACATATTATATAATAATCTATATATATATATATAATATTCTTATATTAAAGTCTCCTAGATATATTTTACAGATACATTTTCTGTGTAGTTAATTTTACGTGTATCTAATACATAAAAAAGTATTAATTCCATTGGCATAGAAAATGTACTTTGATTAAAGGCATTCGATAGGTATCTCTCTCAATATCAAAATAATTGAACTAAAATTGAATAAAATCTAGATACTCAAGGAACGACGATTACTTTTATTTTTTTGTTTGCATCGATTATTGATTTTATTTTGTACTGATTCTGATTACTTGACTGTTTCTTTTCTACTCTGTTTATCTTTGCCATACATGGAATCCAAAAATAAACCCATAAATACTATAAATGTACTTATCCATTGTCTAGGTAAAAGACTATTACCGAAAATTAATATAGAACCTAAGACAGTGAAAAATTTTCTAGTAGTTGTTATTATTGAACATGGCAATGGACCGAATTCAGCAACTGTTAAAAATATGAAATATTGTCCGAATGCACCGGCCAAAGAAAATGTTGAAATATGCCAAATGGTAGAAGGATAACGTTGTAAGAATTTAATAAACTCAAACAATTCACCAGAGATAAGAATTACTATGCCACTAAATACAACAGACCATTGATTCATATTGAGCATCATATGTCCAGATTTAGATTTGTGTTCGGCTCTCATGCGTTCTTGTACTGCACTTGTTAATCCATCCATTGTTAATGATAACAAAAGTAATAGCTCTCCAAACCACGTTTGTCCTTCCACTTGTTTACTCGACATACTTCCATCCTTATACATAAATAAAGCGACTCCAATCACGATTAAAAATATAAAGGCATATTTTCTTATCGGATATACCTAGAATGAAAGAATTTATTGTTTAAATTACTCTGAATGATTGCCTTAAAAAACAAAATTATATTCAAATAAAAAAATTATCTAATTCACCTTGTTACCCAGTAATACACCGAGTACCATAACAGGTATAGGTTTTCCAGCTTTCCCTATTACTTGAGTTGGGTAGTTTACAAACTGTAAAGCCATATTACTACAGACCATACCAAGTAGATATGTTAGAGAGGAAATAGCATAATATAATGTAGGTGTTGTATCTTCACCCTGTTTCATAACTGTTAATAATGTCATCTTGGCAAATGTATAATTGACCAAACATTGTGTGAAAACGAGGGCAAACATATACGTAAATTTTTCTTTGTTTTTCTCATCACCATATTGACTTCTCGTTATCTTCTCTTGTAACATGCCAAAATAAAAGTAACATATAAATATACCGGCGGCACAAATAAATAATTTGGAATGTTTACTGTTCGACATCTCGCACGATTAATAATCATCTATTGTCACAGAATATATTTATATAATTAACTGTTTATTATTGAATAAATTTCGAATAGTAAAATACTATTAATTATCCATGCCAATGGAAAAACTTTTCTCGAGCAAAATTTAATTTTTTTTATCATGACACGTAAATATACGTGGCATTTAGTGATAGGTTATACTCCATTCATATTATCACTGAATGTCATTTACTAAGTATGTATTGGTGTGTCGATAAAAAGACCGACAGCGCGCTCTACATTCAAATCTTACTACTAACAAGATTTTATCGATTTATATCGATTTAGTTTATCGAAAATTATTATCGATAATAATAATGCAAACCTCAAATTTCGTCATCACGTGCATACATTTTGCTTAACAAGAATATGCAAATATAATTAAATTTAATAATTTCAATATTTAATAGTAACTTTTCATTTGTATTCAAAGCAAGTAAATATTTCAAAAACTAATATATTAAATGTGAATGTGTCATTAAATCATTTTAAGTGACATTTGACATAAATACTTTCTTGACACAGATGTTCGAATTAAATTATCTTTAAAAGCAAATATGTATGCAACTATTCTTATTCTTGATGATTTTCAAAGTTAAATCAGAATCTGTTCATCTATGATATTGAATATGTGGAATTTTTGGCATGCCCAGTTATGGGTCATATTATTTTTATTATTTATAATTGGTTATTCTACCGAAGAAAATAATCATTGTGGAAGTCATATAAACAGACAGTCACATTATACTAAAAATGGTGAAGAACAATGTTCGATGAATGATATTCAAAAAATAAAGAAAAGGAACAATCAAGAAAAAGCAAATATTGAAAATATGGCTAAAATAACAGGTGGTACATTTTCAATAGGAACAAATAGTCCAATTTTTGTAGCCGATGGCGAAGGACCACGAAGAGAAGTTGTCTTGGATAGTTTCTACATAGATCAATTTGAAGTAAGCAATAAGGATTTCTCAGAGTTTGTCAAATTAACCGGATATAAAACAGAAGCAGAACAATTTGGAGATTCCTTCGTGTTCGAAGGTCTTATAGAAGAAGATGTTAAGAAAGAAATAAAACAAGCGGTTGCACAAGCACCATGGTGGTTACATGTTAAGGGAGCTACGTGGCAACATCCTGAAGGTCCTCAATCAACTATAAAACGTAAGTTTATTTAGCTGTAAATGATATGATTGAAATAAATTGTAGTTACTTTTTTATATCATTTATGATTAAAATATTTTAATTACTATTATTCAGACAGGATGGATCATCCAGTTACACATGTTTCTTGGAATGATGCATTCGCATATTGCAATTGGTTAGATAAAAGATTACCAACAGAAGCAGAATGGGAAGTTGCATGTAGAGGAGGATTATCAGACAAATTATTTCCATGGGGAAATAAATTAACTCCCAAAGAACAGTTCAGGTATTAAACTACATTTATACAAAAATAATATATATATATATATAATACTAGGAAGCATATTTAATATTTATCATTTTTTTCTAGAGCAAATATTTGGCAAGGAGAATTTCCATACAATAATACGAAAGAGGATGGATTCGTTGGTACTGCTCCTGTTACAGAATTTCTACCAAATTCATATGGATTACACAATATGGTTGGTAATGTTTGGGAATGGACATCAGACTGGTGGTTCATAAAGCATTCCAGTGATCGACAAACAAATCCTGTAAGTAATAATTTCAATCAAATAAACTTAAACTCTATTGAACTTATTTTTTAAATATACTTTTTTCTAATGGTAAATATTTTAGAAAGGACCACCGAGTGGTTCAGACAAAGTAAAGAAAGGTGGATCGTACTTATGTCATAAAAGCTATTGTTATCGATACAGATGTGCTGCACGTAGTCAAAATACACCTGACACATCTGCTGGAAATCTTGGTTTTCGATGTGCAATGTCAGCATAGCATGTATGTATAAAGGTCTTTCAAAAATGAATATATTTTTTTATTAAACTTTTCATAATGTTTATTATTTTCTTGAAAATGAAATATTTATTTTTAATTAATAATAATATATTAATATATATAAGTATTTGTTTATCAAATTTACACCCAAATTATATTTCATTAAGCCTATACATTCCTGAAATAAAAAACACTTGTTTAATAATCTTTATAAACAAAAACTAGAATAAGATAAATTGTAAATATTAGAATTTTCTTTATCGATGGTTTTTAAGTAGATGCTGATTCGCAGTCGGTAATCGTTATTCAAAAAAATTCTGTTAGATGGCAGCACCTTAACGAAAATTTATTTTATTATATTACGGAAGGGCTCGTTTATATATATATATGTATGCAAGGTGTATTGGAAATAATATTACATAGAGCGGGAACAGGTTCAATAGTTCAAAATAAGAATATTTATTTATACCCGGAAACACGTCATATGAGTAATAAAAGTTAACAAGGTTGCATTTTAGTATGTATGCGTTATTTTAGTCCTATGTTCCTAAAACACTATATGATATAAATGTATTTAAATATAATTAATAAATATTATTAATTATTAAATATTTATATAAATTATTTAAAAGCAGTCAATGTAAAAAAAATGATCAATAAATAGTTTAAATAATAAATTAACCATTTCAAAATTCTATAATAATTGATAATAACATAATAATTATTTGAAATGTATAAATAATAGAGTAGTATTTGTAATACCTTGATAATGAAAATTCGCGTTTAAAATGTTTAGAGATTTTTCTTAAGGATAAAACTCCTTGGAGGAAAATCATTGCACAAGGGATGCTCCCCTTTTCGCGTCGAAGCAATCTTCTCTTTGAAAGTCGAGGCATATATCGAAACCTTTAAGAAGGAACCACAGGACCCTTAAAAAGCGCTAGTCCCTTTGACGTTGGATTTTACGCAACGGTAAATTATGTAAAGATGCTCCTTGTTTAACTCGGAATTGAGTTCCTTCCTTCCTCCAGAAGTATACGTTTCCTTGATAGGGTTGCTTGAAAACAAATATTCATTCATGGATAATATAATTAAGATATTCCATATATAATTGGAAAAAATAGTTAATATATTAAAAAATAATTTTGTTAAAATCATTTAACATTTCTTTAATCGTTCAGATAATTATAATATTATTTCGTGTGATTAATTTCAATCAATTAATTTTATATATTCTGTATTATATAATAATATAATAACATATTAAATATATACTAATATAATATAATATATTTTATATATAATAATAATATAATAAAATGTTAAATAAAATAATAAAATATTAAATACCTTACTATCTTATAATATATAAAATACAAAATAAATTATTAAGAAAATTTCTAGATGATTTAATAATAAAACAAATATTTATATAAGCGTATAGAAAATTTCTACACGTTGTTAACACGAAGAGGTGTATCTTTAAAATTATATAATAATATTTTTAGAAAATGTTATTTTTATACTCTCGATTGATAATCTCTTGGTATAATTATTTGATAGTTACGTTATATATATATATATATATATATATATATATATAATGTCTATCACGGTGACCGTCAGCGTAGTTATTGATTTTTGGGAAGAGGGAGAATGAGAGGCAACAAGCGAGGAAAAGTAAGGGGATAAAGGTAGCCCAATAGCTTCTCCTGACCATCGTAGCTTTATTTTCTACTCCGCGTTAGAAACTTTTTCCCCTGATATCATCTCTTCTTCATCCTTTCAACGACTTTACATGTGTCTTCTTGAAAAATATTATAACATGTCTCATTACTATTTTATTTTTCAATTAAAGAAAAACAAAAGTCCTCGATCACATTATTTGTACAAATGAATACGTTAAAATCTCGATATTTGTATGAAATCAAAATTTTGCAGATATTTCATTCGATTGAGAAAATATAAATGATATTTATATAATACATATCAGTTCAGGAAAATGAAGTAGGCTCCATTCAATTTTGAAAACAAGATCTCGAATAATCCTTAGGTTTTATACGTGACCAGAAAGTTTGATTTTCTTTTCTTTTGGACGTCATTCAAACGGTCGTATTTCGTAAATCGTGGAAGAAGAAAGAGGTCGAATGAAAAATTTCCAAGGATTTTCTTCAATCTGATCCCTACTCTATCGTGAAAAGTACTTTGAACAGTTAACTGTATCAAGATTTATTGAGAGAGAGAGAGAGAGAGAGAGAGAAAGAAACACACATTTTATTTCATGACATTATTATAAATCTTAACATTTATGTTTGTCAAATTTTTGTAACTTACAAAAAAGGTGTGTGAGCCAAGTTGACGGGATATCAATTTTCATTAAAAGTTTATACAGTTGATGGGATTCAGTAATAAGACCCAATACTTAATCGTTTCATTGTAAACAAATTTTGTACGATTTAATTTAAGAAAAAGAAATTGTGTAGAAAAAATATACAGGAAGAAGAGTAAGGGTTTTGAGATTTAACACGAGAATGATTGAAAAAAAAGAAAGGAAGAAGGGAAGGGAAAAAAATATCATGTGTGAAGATCACACGTGTTAGAAGTGAAACCTTCACAAAACTAAGTTTCGAGAGAATGAGACGAATGCACAGTATCAAGAGTAAGATAATTGTAGGGTTTATTTATTATAATATTATTACCATATATAACAAAGGGCACCGGCATGATCTCGATGGGCCTAAAATTCATTCGTGTATCCAAAATAATACCCAAGTACCTAACGCTGGATTTTATGTTTATACTAACAGCCCTAAGGCGAATCTTAGGGGGTGGGACCCCTATCCCTCTGGTTATCCTCTGGTTTGCGGAAGGCAGAGGTAGGGAAGGCCATGACCTCCGTCTTCTGCGGCGCCTTCTCAAGACCCAGTCCCTCTATCGCATTCACAAGGACCCCGAAGTCCCACTCTGCCTTACTAATAGTCTTCGCCAGGTCCCACACCGACGACAGGAGGGCCGTGTTGTCCGCATAGCAAACAACACGGGAACCCCCTGGCAACGAAGCACGAAGGATACTGTCGTAGGCCACATTCCATAATGTGGAACCAAGGACCGATTCCTGCGGGACTTCCGTTTTGCCACCGCTCGCCACAATGTTAAGTCGCGCTGTGTTTCATTCTTTTCAAATCACTCCCATTCTAAAGAAGTTTTCACTTCAAAAAAAGAGAAAGATGTAAAGAGATTATTCGATTCGACAATTTACATCGGGTAGAGTTTCATTTCAATAAAATAATATCCAATATCATTGGCTGGGTAGTTCAATTAATCGCGAGTCTCTCCTATTTCATATTTATTTCCAATTGAATTACGGCCATATTCCCTAAAATAGTTAATACCAACGAAATTGTAAAACATAGCTCGATATAAACGTTTATACTCCTCTTGTATTTAATTTCATTTAAATTTAAGTTGATAATCAAATGGTACCACCCGTATTACAGGTCGAGGGTTGCACGGAGGAGGACACACGTCGCCCAATGCTTTTTGTTTTGGGAATCGGATTTCCTTGTTTATCAGTGCGTTTGCCAAAAAGGGATTTTCGATGAATTCCCTCTCTCTCTCTCTCTCTCTCTTCCTCTCTACAGTCCCTCTCGATATTATTAATATTCCATTCGAATATCAACCGATATCTACCTGTGTTTCGTATTTCGATGGTACCACCTTCCATGCCACCTTTCAAAATTATCGAAGGAAATCTTTTTTTTTAATTAAATTATATAATATATTATGTGTTAATTTATAAATTATATATTATAATAATAATTTATTTAAATTATACAAAAATAAAAAAAAATAAATGGATTGACAGTTGATGGAGACGTTATAGTATATCTAATGATAAAAACACGAAAATCATGCTTTTAGAATCGTTCCGATAAGAAAAACGATTTGAGAACCTTCGCTTTAAAGTCCCACTTATCGAGCGCCTAGTTGGTATGATAATGTAATAAAATAAATGGAGGCTACTGCTTCCGAGCGATATAGTCTCCCACCTTTTCCTTTTACTCTCTCTCTTTCTCTCTCTTTCTCTCTCTTTCTCTTTCTCTCTGTAGCATTTTCTTTCTTCATCGTTCACGTTCTCTTCTACTTATACTCCTATACACTCCTCCCTTTTTTGTCCCGACCATCGAAGTTGGCCTCAGTGAGAGTTAGCTCCGTCTCTTTTATTTCTCTTTACCTAACTTCCTCCTCCTCGCCTCTTAACCTATCTCTTTCTAGCTCGTTCCTCAAAGCAGTAGCAGCAGCAGCAAGAGGTTGAGAGAGGGTAGGGGGAAATCGTTCGTAAAGGTAGAGGTAGGGATGAAGATCGAAAAGGTAGAAAGGGAATAGTTGAGGGGCAAGGGGGTTTACCTCGAAAGCGAAATACAACAAGTCCTACCGCCATTGCTGGATCACCGGTGGTTCGGTGGAAGTTTTGTCGCTTGTCGCGAGTAAAGAAGAGTAAGGGAGGGAGGAAGGAAGGAAGGGTGAGAGGGAGGAAAAGCAGCAATAGCAGCAGTAGTAGTAGTAGCAGTCCCTTTCCTCCCCCTTTCGTGCAGCAACGAGCATTATCCCCACTTTCATTCGAGAGGGCAACCGCCGCCAACGACGCCGTCTCGTAGTTTTAAAAGGAGCGAGAAAGACAGCGATAGGTCGAAAACTCCGCCCATGCAGCAGCACCACCAGAAAGCTCCTCTCGAGTCAATACTAGCAGCAACGTGCGCCCTTCCGTCCCAGTTTACCCTCGGAAAACCCCTTTCACATCTTACACCGGCTACCTCTAACATCCTCCCCCGTTTTCATCTCATTCCAAATTCGTTCCTCGTTGCGTCGGTTATTGGCATGTTCAATGTAGTAGTAGTTGTACGGTCAAACGCGGAAGCGAAGGTACGTTACCACCCCCTCCCTTCCTTTTTTTTCTTCCTTAGGGAAAATTACGAAATTAATTTTTTTTTCTAATTGAAATGAAAAATATTACATAATAAGGTAATACTTATATTATTAAAAACAATCGATATTTATAATTATTATTAATTTTGTATTTATTATTTGAGAACAAAATGATTATTCTTTCTGCAATGAAATTTATATTTATCAATTTGAATGTTGAATAATTTGAAAAAATAGGTTTCAAACGTAAAAGAATTTGAATGCTTTGTTGTTATTACATGGAAATATAAATTATTTCAATTTTACAGTGGAAAAGCGAACGTGTGTGTACGAATGTATTTCTACGATTTACCATATACGTAGAACAAACAGAATTATTATTCGTAATAAATACGCGTAGATATAATTATTATACCAATTAGCGTATTTATTTTATACGCATTAATTATTTATTATTAAAAGAGAAATAAAAGAAGAGAAAGAAAACGAAATAAAAAAGTAATAAAAATCGAGTAGTATTTAAAAGCTTTCTTACGATAGAAAGAAAACCTTTCAAGAACGTCGGTTCCTGATCTCAAATATAAAAAACATTAAGCACGGTTGCTCACACCCCCGTGTCAGGGTGTTTAACTCCCCGACTGCTTTGACAACTTAAGCAGGCCCTTAAACCTCGCTCAAGCCAGACGTAATTTATAAGCGAGCGAAGGGTAATTCCAGCGGGGATCGTCAAACTGCCATGTGGCAAACCCACACCCCCGTCAAGGGGGAAGTCAGGGATTACACGGTGATAAATAAATATGTACTTTTATGCAACGAAAGGAAACGTTTATGTGGGGGCGTAATCACGCGCGAGTCACCACACAACCTTCGCGACGTCTTCTCGTTCCCTTTTCGGGTTCCCTTACGGATTGTTTTTTTTTCTCCCTTTCGAACTCTCACCCTTCGTATTCTCATATAAGGAAAAAAAAACATACACACATGCACAATCGGTAAATTCCAATAGAAATATATAAACCCTCGTAATATTATATTCCATCGATTTAATCAAAATTTGTCGATCGTTAACCGATTATTTATATGATTATATTATATTATACATATCACTGGGTATATCAAACAAACCTTGTCGTTCATATTTATTTCATCACGTCGTTATATCTTAATCATATTAATGTAATATCATTGAATTTTTCCTACAATTTCAATATTTCATATTAATTTGTTTGTTTTTTTTTTTCATTATTGTATCATCTAATTGGAGGAAAAATATTCATTACCGGTTTTGACATATCCTTTATACATTTATATATATGGTGTCTTTTAATTGATTGTACAAACGAACAGAATATATGAAAATGTAAAATCAAATTTATTCGTATAAAGTTTTTTTTTTTTTTCAAATATGTTTGCAAAATTTCCAAGTAAGGGACACCATGTAAACGAGAGTGTCTTGAAGAAAAATTTGTTTAAATAATTTCATCATATAAGTATTATTTCACTTCTTTCAAACAACCATTTTATTTTGTATAAAATTGATATAGTACTTACCCCGTTTCCATATATTTCCAAAATTTCATCAGTCGTGACAAAACGTGCCTTGTGAAATAATGACAAATTTATTAATTAGGATTTTGTTTGTTTGTTTTTTTTTTCATCGCGTTTCCTTTTTATTACAAGTAATGAGACGTTATCATCGTTACATCGTTATGCATCGATCGAGTTTTACGTACACTTTTACAATGAACAGTATCACAACACGAAGTATAAAGAATTGAAGCACGGCTGAACATACGTCGGTTTCATATATTTTTTTTTTTTTTTTAAATCTTTACATCATCGAAGTTTAACTACTATGTATATCTATTTTTTTTTTGGACATTCGTAGCGAGGTATGTTTAAAGTACTTTACGTGTAATATGTGAGTCGTGCTTCTGTTGGAAGCCTCGTGAATCTTCCCTCGGTTTTTTTTTCCTTTCGTGTCTTTTGTTAGACGAATAAAAAAACAAAGATTTAATTTAGATGAAAAAAAAAAAAGATAAATTGAAGAAAATAATTAGAATAAAAATACTTATGAACATAAAACGAGAAGACAAAAGTTCAGATCTCACTGTGTCTTCTTTCATACTTTTTTTTTATCCTTACCGTAGGAGACAACAATATACGTGATATTAATGTGCGTATATGTTTTATGGGTGTCTGCCTGTATGAGGTGTATGATGCGTGAATGATCTCTTCGTAAATGATAATCCCATTCGACAAATCGAACCTATGATTCGATAAACATTTTCTATAATAAATAAATACACGTATTTTTATACACTCATATTGTGACAATCACAATAACACTTCTTCTTCTAGATTTCTTCTTATTGTATGTTTCACATTCACACATTTTTTTTCTTCTTTTTAGATGCCGTTTCTCTTTCGTAATTTCAATACAAGCAACGTGTTGCCTGCCCATCATTTCTTTCTTATTAAGAATTCTCATCGAATTCTTATCCCCTTTTCTTTTAGGCCATTTCCTTCTTCCTTTCTTACTTTTGTTTCCATAATTATAGTTGTGTTGGATAGTTTTGATTTATCTAACGTTTTAAACGTTCGATGTATATGGGTTCTCTTAGTTCTTGTACATATCGCAAAGCACTTTCTCCATCGGCGTATTACCAATGGTTCTGTGAAAATATATTAATTCTACTCTTGCTGCAGGTACGGCTCTGAGTAACGGTAGAAGCAACAACAACCTCCCAAAACGTGCCGGACTACCTGGTTGTTGGGCTCTCGCGTGTTGTCCTAACATCACCTGTGCTTGGTCTTGAAGATTTTCAATTTGACTAGAATCCTTCAATCCGCGTGTTTCTACAAGAAATAGAAAGAGAAAAAAAAACAAATACTAAAAAAAACTCATCTGGAAAACTTAACATTCGAAGTGTTGCAACGTTGTTTTTTTTTTTTAAAGATAATACGACTAGTAATATCTAACAAACATTATATTAAATGTTACCTGGTCGAAAAAGTACGATGGCCTTCATGCAAGCAAATTCCGCAGGATCTACCATAACAGCCTTGTACCTTTGCAAAGTATCATGAAGGTGTCTGACATCGGCAGCAACTTGGCTAGGTTTACCGGTGCTGTTTTGCAGATGAAGACCCGAATGTGGATGCTGATGGGGTGAAAGTGTTAACGCTGTCAATTCTGGTGCACTGAAGAGTGGTGATGATTCGAGAGGTAGACACCACTGTACTGCATTTAGTAGAAACAGCTCTGACCAGGCCTCCTCCAATAGAATCACCTGAACGAATCGCGTGATTGCACGTGTTGACAAAAATATAACTCCACTTTGTTTATTCCATTTTGAATCTTTTTTAAAACTCTTTTATCATGGCTGTATTAATAGGCCTGTTTGTACCTGATCTCTGAAGGGTAAACTAGCGAATGAAGGAAGATTCTTCGCCCATTTAACAGCCATGAAGAGTAATCTCGCACTCGTCTCGTAGACAGTCTCGGCACTGGCAGGTGAATAAAGGGATGGTATGACTGGTGGAAGTTGAGTGCAACCACTTCTCTGTGGTGTCAATGGTTCCTCGTTCGTCACGTCTATACTGTCCTCTGACGCGTTACCTGTTATCCCATTTCATTTTCAACATTTCTTAAATAATTTATATTAGGTTGAATGAGAAAAGTTCGTGTGTTGTTTGTTAAACTCACGAATTTTTGTTTCACCCTAATATCTATCGATCTATCATTTTATAAGAATACTTGTGTTTTGAGATAACAATTATAAAAGTTTTGATCGTGTGTTATGAAAGGCTTACCATCTTCGGTTTCTTGTCTGGGAGGAGTAGCCGTGGTAGTTGAATTCGTCGTGGGTGCGATCGAGGGTAACGGTAAGGGTGCCGTGTATCTTGCCATTGCTAAAGACACCGGTGGCCTAAACAGAAAAAAAACCGTACACAAATTTATTTTTGTCATTCGTTGTTGCTATTGGTTGTTGATAAGGAATGTTTCTTTTCTTCGCGTTTTCACGTAACTCGATTCGCTTTAAAAGTAGGAAGAAATTGTTTAAATGTAAATAGAAGAAAACAATCTCGACAGTTTCACGTTGGTAAAAGAAAAAAAAAATCAATTATGACGAATTTTGTTTGCGTACTGTGTGATGATGGTGGTGGACCAACACCATCCGTCAGATCTTCCCCATCATCATAATCGTCATCATTATTTCGTTTACGTCGATCATCTCGCGGTGGTTGGTGAATTCTTCAAACTTGAGAAAAGCACTGAATTCGCGAGCTTTTCTTTTTTTTCTTCTTTTTTTCTTTCGTTTCTTTCTTTTTCTATTTTCCTTTGGCCTTATATTTAATTACGAACGATATATTATATATTATGTTTTTTTTTCTTCCTCTCATTTTATTTATTTTATTTGAAAACACGTTAATGCGTTCAGATTCTTCGCTGGACTAACTTCGAAGCTTATGATACGGATGACGTTGTTGCCCGTCGGATCGGTTAAAGGGTGGTGTACGGTTCAAGTCGTTTCGATAATTCAAAACCGAGGTTAGTGCAATTATTTCTTTCATTTAAACACCATTTTTTATTCCAATATTATTATTGCGACAATATTATCATTTTATATTGCACGATAATATACGATAGAATTATTATGTTTCACTTTTATTTCGTGTAATTATTATTTTGTTATTCGTTAGATTAATCTTTTTACATATAAATCATTATAAATATTGTAAACTTAATAATTTTGATAATTAATAAATAATATTTATTTAATACGCGTTGACAGAAAACTTAACCCTATGATTTCTCATTAAAAAATCATTAATTAAACAAACGCGAGATAGAAGCATTGATAATAAATATTAAACGAATAATAAATATATATTATAAATTTGTAGAAAACGACGATTGTACTCGTGTCGTTGAAATAGTCTGTTAGAAAAAAAAAAAAAAAATGGTCGAAATGAGTGAAACATTAGTGGCATCATCGCCACGATCAACAAAAGGAGAAACTGCATTACGTCGTAAACGTAAAAAAAATGATCAATCGTCAACTACCATTGCAACTAAAAATGATACTACGATACCAACTGGAAAAAATTTCACTGCATGTTACATGGAACTTTGTAAGAGGTATCACCTGAGACCATTACCGATTATCTGCGTGACTTTACCCTACAGCCTGGATTTTACAACCGATCGCATTAAAATGGAAGATTGGAGACCGATACTTAATTCTTTGTCGCTAGATCGTAGCTTAAGGTTTTTATCATTTTCCTTTAATCAACAAAAATAAACACACTTTGTCCAATAATTGAATCGAACGAATATCCCATTTTCTTTTGGGGAATTTTTAGATCGATCAGCATACGTAGTCGATATCAATATCGTAAACCATCGGAAAGTGGTGGTGGGAGGATAAGTTTGGAAGAAAAAAATCGTACAAAAAAAGGTCCTGGCGTATTAACCCAATGTATTTTGGAATGGTTATCCCATAGTATCGGACAATGCGTTAGAAATTCGTACAGTTTGACTCATCTGGAGCTAGAGGGTATACCCTTTCCGACGGACTGTTTGGCTGTATTGTGCGTCGGTTTGGCTGGCACGGAAACCCTAGAACATCTTTCCTTTCAGCGTTGTTACATCGGTGATGCTGGCTGTGAACTGGTCTGTCGTGCAATAACCGACGTACGGACGATCAGATCGTTGAATTTGAGCGATTGCGATCTTACGTCCAGGTTAGACAAGACTTGAGACCATCATCTATCTCATCCGCGTAGGTCGATTCAATTGATTACGTTAGTTTATAAATATATCTACATATACATGTAATATCTTCCTTTTTTTGTTTCTTTGTTTTTATAAATATCGTTTAGGATTTTTAATTGTTTTAATCATCGGGTTTACAATTTCATTATTCACGTGTTTATGTTTTTTCTCCCACGTATTGATCGAATGATGATATATTATGTATTAATTCGAATTAAAATTCAACGTAAGATGCGGCACGGTTCTAGCCAGTACATTATCAAGACAAGAATTATTGTTATACCATGAAACATGGAAACAATCTTTGAGATATCGTCAACCAAATATCGAAGCTATGCCCGGTCTGCGACGATTGACATTAAGCGATAATCCTCGATTGGGTGATTCCGTTGTATTAAAGATGATCGATGTTATCAGAGATAGTTTATGGTTGAAAGCACTCGATCTACGGCATTGTGGTTTAACCGATCAAATAGGCAACGATTTACTTGAACTTTTGGAACAAAATTCTTCTTTGACCGTACTCGATGTACGACAGAATCCAAATATGAATGATAATTTGATAGAAATGATTTTACAACGATTGGATGGTAAAGAACATGGAGAGTATGGTTGGTTGAATTCTTCTCGTAGGGATTGCAAATTATCTTCGATGAATTTTTTAAAGAAAAAACTTAACAAAAGTAATAAAGAAAATGAAATTAATGGTGCGTACGAGAAGAAACAAAATCGTAGATGTGAAAATAATTTGGTCGTTAACAAAACCAAGGTATTAACGCAATCGATGAAAACCCGTAAAGATAATTCACAAGTTACGGAATTGAATAAAGTTCAAGCAACACGATTTGTCGTTAAACCTTCATTGCATTTGGATCTTCAATCGCGAATAAAACCAACGAATGTTGAAACGACGACGAATTCTTTGGTCATGAGCGAATCCAACGTTAGATTTTCTTCGAGAAATAAATTCGATACTTCGACGAGAATAGATTTGGAAAAGAAAAATGAGGATAGAGAACAGATCATTAAAATGACGAAAGAACTTATGTTAGCTAGAGCAACTCACGATTATTTATTGGAGAAAAGCAAACGTCAAGATCTTTTAGTGGCACAGGAAAAAGCAAAACGCGAAATTGCCGAGACCAAATTGAGAGGCATGAGTACGGATTTGGCTGATTTGGAAAATATTTTGAGAGAAAAGGATCGAGAAACTGATGGTTTTCTATTGGTCAGTCAACGTTCGTTGAACGATATTTGTGTGTCGTTTGATAGATTGGTCGAATTGTTGGAAAGTTTAACCAGAAATTCGAGATTAGATAGGAAAAATTTGGAAGAAAATCTTGCAATTGGGAAAGATGTTAAACGTCGTATTGATTCTATCGTTAGAAAAACTAAATCTGAGAATTTAGGACGTGGATATGTCGTTGATATCGAGGACGATGAACAGGAAATAGAAGAAACGATCCAGGATGATAATGAAATTATCGTTGAATCTTCTAGGTTTGTTTAAAAATTTTTTTTTCTATGAAAAATGAAAACCCATACACACTTATAATCGTGAATTTCATTTTAAACAGATTTGATAAGAAAAAACTCGTGAAATCCGAGGGAGACGTAAGAAGGAAACAAAAGCAACAACCTTTATCACCTGTACGAGTTGAAACAAATATCGGTGATAATCCTGACGTGATGGTGGGTCAATCATTGAAAGGTTTCATACATAATAATCGTTTGGATGCTGGTGATAAACGTAACATGTCTTCCGTGGAAAGAGCAAAAGATATATTTTTTCGTTTCGTTAATGGTGAAGCTGAAGGAAATTTTTCGATCGGTTGAAAATCGAAATAAAAAAAAAACAATTTATATACAAATATTTATATAGTAAACTATATAAGATGAAGAAGAAGAAGAAGAAGAAGAATAATAAGAAGAAGAAACAAAGAAACTTAAGATTAAGTGATCGTTTGTATTAGCACACGTTTTTTTTTACTTAAAAGCTTTCTGTGAGATTGTACATGAAATATAGATAATCGTTTATGGATTTTTCCAACTTAAGGTAAACTCTCATTTACGTTTATTCTTATTTTAAAGAAAAGAAGAAAAGAGAAGAGAGGAGAGAGAGAGAGAGAGAAAACATGCTAGCTACGATCGAGAACATCGTCGTCGTCGTTGTCGTTGTCGTTTATCGCTTTTAACGTTCACCCCTTGGCACTCTATGGATTTTCCATTACTTCCGGCCTGGGTCGTCGGTTACTTGAAAAACGTTACCTATGCACGGGCTAACGGTCAAAGGTAATTTTTCATGATAGATCACGCTCGGCGTGGCGTGTCGCGAGCGATCTTGTTCGTCAACGTGAATGGTGAAAGGTAAGTCGTTGCGCAGCACAAGATCAAACGTTCCAGCAACGTCGTCCGGTGTTGTGCCTCCTCTTTCTCTCTCACCATTCTTCTCTCTCTTTCTCTCTCTCTCTCTCTCTCTCATTCGATGTATCGTCGATTATCGATCACCTTCTCGGTGTCCTCGCTTTTACGCGTTCTCTTCTTGAAGCCTTTAAACGAGAGAAGGAAGAAGAAGACCTCGTTTGCGTCACGTTAATAAACGGTTAAATGTTGTGTGTTAACAAGCTTTCCCATATATCATATATGTGTGTGGGTGTGTGTATGTATGTATGCGTGTTCCTCGAGAAATCGTATAGAAACGGTAAAGATTAGAAATAGATGATTATATGTGGTTTAAAAAAAAAATAAAAAGATTTCTTACCCGAATACACCAACGGCAACTGCTGCTTCACGTAATGCTCGTTCTTGGTCCATTTCAACGAGTGCTTCCGGTCTGATGGTTGCCGTGTTTCTAGGCTGTCTTTCATTCTGTACGGCTGAAATTACAAAGAAATATTATTTCCCTCTTATTCTGTTTTATTTTGTCAATACAGACACGACGTTGATTTTGAAACACGGTGGGTGGGTGGATGGCGAATTTCGTTGAGTGGTAATTGAAATATTACGATGATTTCGCTTCGATGGTTCTCAGCAGATTAATCAGGGAACAAACGCGTTCCGCCTTCTACGACCAACCCCCATCTCTCTCTCTCTCTCTCTCTCTCTCTCTATCTATCTCTCTCTCTCTCTCATCCCTCACTTCTATCTCTCGTTCGCGTCTCGTCAAATTCACGTAACTCACGGTTATGTCATGCGAACATCGTGCGTTTGACAAGCACGAGGAGTTTAACGGACGCGCAGAAATCAGACCGAGTTATTGTTTGCCTGGGTTATATTCGCTGTTAGGTAACTCCCATTCTACGGAACCAACCAACGATGCTAGGAATTCTCATCGACGATCGGATCGATTCGTGCAACACATTTTCCATCATATCTCGATATTATTCTAAAAAGAAACTTATTATTCTCATCTTCTATTTCTATTATATTCTATCTTTTTGTTTCTGTTTTTCCTTTCTTTCTATTTTTTTTTTTTTTTTTATTAACAGCTAGATCATATTTAGATACCTCTGTAATAAGGGAATGTAGATGTAATGCGTTTGAAATTAGATAACTTTATTAAGATATTTTATCTATTTTGATCATCGCATCTATTGGACTATTGATTATTATTATTTTTTCTTCTCCCCCAACCGCGATTACACAAATAATCGATTATAACTTGTGATATTAACTAAATAATATTAATATCTAAATATAATGGAAAATCGATGAATTGAATTAATTAAAATCCTTCTTTTTCGATGATACTAAATTTATTATCATATTTTATCATGTTAGAAAATATAATTTATATATTATACAAAAATAATATGTGTGTGTGTGAATTTATTTGTACGCGAATTGTAAGTTACAGCATAACGGGTTTATAGAAGGGTTAATAATACTTCACGAATATTATATATGTATATATATTATTATCGTATTTATCGAATCGTTATTAATAATTACGTAATTGTTTATAATTTAATACGTTGACGATGTGAACATTGTGTTTTCTTTTTTATTTTTTTTTTTGTATTCCACTTAATCGGTTGGGAACATATTTACTTTTACCTTTTTACAATCTGTTAATATTATCTTCTAACAACGAAATGCATCAAACCTTTAAACTTTGCAAAACGAAGAAAAAAAAAACAAAAGGTTGTTTGATCGGTTTGACGAAACTCATTAGCGTGAAACCCATTTCCAATATGGTCATTCGCAAAATTTATTCGAGAAAATGAAAAAATGTCTGAGGTAAAGAAATGAACAAACAAGTGGTAGTGTTCTCTCACAGAAGAACGAATCCCCGATGATGACACGCGACACCTCGTGCTGTGCCAAATTACTTGGCTTCGCGTACTTTTAAACGTCGCTTCGTTTTCGCGAATATATTCAAATGAGCGGGCTTTGATCTTCGTGGCCATCCGATCGTCACGAAAACGATGTGTCATCCATCCCTTTGGTTGGTACAAGAAAAAAAAAACGAGATAAAAGATATAAAGTGCCGAAAGGATCGAACAGGACACGCTGCTGTTAGTGTAAAAATTTAACGAGCACGGACGAACTATGGAAGGGCTAGTAGAGCCCTACAATGATTTCCTTTCGTCAAAACTTCGTAAAAAAAATGAAGAGAATTCAACTGACTGACCGAACGAAGAATCCCTGAAAAATAGAAAAAAAAAAAACAAAAACAAAAGGGATGCACAGAGTTGAAATGCGAAGGAAGAAAAGGTTTGGTTAAAAAAAAAAAAAAAATGAGAGAAAAAAAGAAATGAGAGTATTTCTCATGAAACATGCAGCATTAAGCTTTAATGGAGCCACGATAAGGGCACTCAGTGGCGCGTAACGCTCGAGTAGAAGCATTTTTCTCTAGGTTGAGGAGGAATGAGTGGTGAGTGAAGAACGGTGGGGAAAGGTAGGACAGAGGAAGAGCATCCTTTTTAACCGTGGCACACGGTTGTTGTGCAGTAATTTCGTAATAATAAAAAAGCGTGTCGGCTCGCTTTACTTTCGTCGCGTTGTTGGTTGCCTGCCTGCCTGCCTGCTGAGCGGTTTAATAGGGTCCCTCTTGTCTCTCACTGAGCCTTTTCCTCGTCGTCCTTCATTCTCTCATTCCCATTCCCTTTTTTTTCTCTCTCTCTCTCTCTCTCTCTCTCTCTCTCTCAGTTGTGTGTGACTCTCATCTTTTTTCTCTCAACCACGTTATACTCCACCTCCATTCGAAAAGATAAACGCTGCTCGACGCCCTTTACCCTTAGGCATTTCTTTCTCTTCTTTTTCTTTTTTTTCGTGTGTTTCTCTTCACTTCCATGTAGGATAGAAGTATAATAATTGCAAATGGATGGGAATCGTAGCGGGTGGCTGCCTGCCTGCCTGGTTGGACTGGGTTGGGCTGGGTTGAGTTTGACTGTAGGACGAAAATCGAAGGATTCAGATTTCCGCGTGCACATCGCACGAACTAACACACACCGCGCTTTTGCTTTTGCCTTGCATACGTTTATTTCCTCCAATTAACCCTTCGGGCCGTTCGAGAGCCACGCGACCATCGTTAACGACCATAGTGTTTACCGATGGCTACAGGAGACTTGCTTTCTATGTTCTATCTCTGCTAGAGTAGTAGTGGTTGTTATCCTGGTAGTTGTGGTTAACCGCAAGGAATCTGGATTGCTTTCTCAACTAAACGGTGTATAATCCTTTTGCTTTAGATTTCAACGAGACACCGGTGTTCATTCTATTTGTGTCATTCTTATAATGAAACCTTTCGTGAATTTATTATGAATTTTAGAATCTCACTGATGTGCACGATTTTTATGATACGAGATAGAAAAGAATTTGTTGTTTATCTTATGAATGATAATAATTGATTTTTTTAAATAATAAAAAATTCTTAACCTTCGAATTATTTAGATAAGATAAAAATTGTATATACTGGTATCAAGTGTGTACGATGTTATACCAGATCTAAAAGATTAACCTGCTCGTGAATTCCAATCGTTTGTGTCACGTCTTCGTTTTATAGGAAACGACGAGATTTCGACGTATAAGACAAACTTGTGCGTCTCGATTCTATCCAATTTTATCTTACGACGAGGACAACGACGCCGATGCCGATGCCGATGCCGACGACGACGTCAAGTTCGGCAATAAGAAAGTTAGCGGTAACAGCGAAACGAGGTTGCACGTTGACTAGGGGGAAAAAGAAGGAAAAAAACTATAGAAAAGATGGAAGGAGGAGAAGTTGGGGGATGGGGGTTGGAAGTTATGGGGGAGAAAAAAAAGAAGAAAAAGAGGAAAGAGAGAAAGAGAAGCAGGTGCTGCTGTGTCTCGTCGAGAGGCATTAAGAGTTGAATCGAACGATTCTAGAACCACCCCTTCCTCCCTCCCCTTATGTCCCTTCCAACTGCTTTTCCTCTCATTCCATCGTTCTATTCTCATCTTTTACTATCCTAACAGGAGTTTCCTGTTGGTGGTGGTGTATCTTTCTCTTTCTATCTCGCGAAACGCGTTCTTCTCTTCGTTCTCATCCAGTTATTTATGTCGCGAACATAAAAGGGCCCTCTTCTCCTCCTCCATCGTGAATTTCCTGATCGCGATACACAGGGGACGTCTACTACTCTGATTGATTCGAGAACGGATTATCCAAAGGTATCGTCGTTTCGGTTAACTCCCATATCGAACCGATCGACTTTCTATCTTTCTAACACGACTTATTTCCAAATGAAATCTATTTAGATTAAATACGAATAAAGTATTATCGATATTATTAAATTTAATGGATTATTTTTTTATTATTTCAACTAACCGTCTTTGTTCATTCCCATCTGCATACATTTTTTCAAACGACACGCTTGGCATTGATTCCTGTGCGCCTTGTCCACGACGCATCTTCCTGTTCCAGCCTGACATCTATGACAGATAAACAAATACATTTTCAAATTGTTACTTGGTTCTTTTTTTTTTACGAAAGAAAATTTTGGAGCGTTACTATTTAGAGAGAGAGAAAGAGAGAGAGAGAGAGCAAGACGATAAACTACGAGGGCCTATGTTCGTCGAAAATCCAGGCTGCGCACTCACGGGAGGATGGCGTTAAATTCGATTACTTTCATTGTTGAGCTAACCCGGTTATCCCTTGGAGCGTAGTAACGTAAAGAGCCGACGACCACCCCGGGGGTCACGTACCTTCTTCTTATCCCTCTTAATCTCGTCCAATCCCGCGGTGGCGTGCTCGCTAGTAGTACACTTCCTTCTTCGCGAACTATCCTCTATCCTCTTTTCTTTCTCCAAGAAAAGGGACAAACGTCGTCTTTCCTTTATTCTTTCATTTTTCTCAATCGCAACGAAAAAGAAGAAGAAAAAAACGGAAACGTCCAATCGAGTTTATTATCGAATCCTGATCATCTATCTGAATATTACGATTCTAACACGAAGACAAGACGAGGATGGATAATTTGCCCTCGTTTTACTCGAAAGAAAAAAAAAAAAGAAAAGAAAAGAGGAAGAAAGTTCAAAAGGATATCAGAGCAGAGTAAAATGAGGGTTGGGTGGTGAGGGTATCCTTGCTTGATCAATTTATCCGTAGTTGTTAGGACGATTTTAAGTGACGTCAGTCAGAAGGAAATGAGAATCGGGCTAAAAGGAAAGAGGAACGGAAAAGGAGTATGAGGAGTATGAAGAGGAGGAGGAGGAGGAGGAGGAGAAGGGAGTTTGAGAGATATCCGGTTGGTCGGTTGGTCGGTCGACCAAACCATCCTGACCCGAGGCAGCGGTTGGAACGCGACAAGAAGAACGGATCCAAAGCTAGAAGGGTGGCTGCGTGCCGTGCCAGCGGGTGGCGTCGCACAAATTGATTTGCGTTCACACCCCGTCGGAGCTTCGAACACACGCGCGAACTCTCTCATACATCCTCGCGAGAGGACACACTTGGTAGTCGTAGTAGTAGTAGTAGTAGTAGTAGTTGTTACTGGGTACAGTAGCACACGATGGGGGACACCCAAGAGAGAGATGAAGATAGAAAACGGACTCCTCTTCCTATCCATTCACCCTTCAGAACCACATCACGCATTTATTTACCCGACTCTTCTTCAACGGCTACCCTATATCTTTCTTTCTTTCTCTCGTATACTTCTTCGATCGAGCGGAATCTCTCTTTTGCACGTACTACTACAGTCATTCTTTTTCTCTTCCTAAAAGAGAAAGAGACAGACAGAGACAAAATCATCATCAACCCTGACGAATAGCTTAGAAATTTATTTTATTTTTTTTTTCTTCTTCGAGTGAGAGATACGTCACGTAATACAGGGTGGTTTGTGCTGTTTTAACTCGTTAAAAGATTTCGAATATCTTATCGAGATATCTAGGATACCGATTTAATTTTATTCGACAATTGATAGGATCGGCCCGGTCAACCTAGTGTCGAGCTTTACGGTTAATCCGTCGATCCGGTGGCTGCCGCGACGTCGGGACGCATCTGTCGCAACTCTAACTATCTTTCTCTTTCTCTCTTATTTTCTCTTCTATCTTTCTATCTTTCTCATTCTCGTACTCTTACCGGAGCTAGGGTGAGGCCTGGCACTTTTCCCCCTTACCGGAGTAATTGGTTATCTGTGCGAAGGCTCTTCGGTCTTTACCGCGTTACGACCATCTGACAGGAACGGATACTGGGAGAATAAAAAAAAAAAAAAGAAAAAGGTGAACGGCGTTACGATGACCTCAAAAAGGATCGATTAAAACGTACTTGTTCAAGAAGAAGCAGAAGAAGAACAACGAGGGATCGACGACCGGCTTCTGTCTCTCTCTTTCTTTCTCTCTCTCTCTCTCTCTCTCTCATCATAACCTTCTATCGAACTCGTCAAAAGACCGGCCGGCTTCGATATATTGTTGTTTTATTGAAACAGGTGTTATAAAGTTATTCAAACGTAATTGTTTTCCTTATGACCGTTTAAAAAAGAACACGGTTTTATTTCCGTGTGTGTATGTTTCGATGATCGAAATGTTTGCTTTACGATTCGATCGGTGCTGCGATAAATAATTATTTATTCAGCGGTATTTCGGCTAAAACACTTGGCAAAGGTTATGATCGTCTGACAATGGATCGAATTCTTCTTTTTCTTATCGCGATTGAACGTTCTGACATATGTTTCTTTTTCTTTCAAAACCACGTGTACATATTATCATGAATTCGCAATATTTTCATCGATAATGTGTCTTCCGATTTGAATAGTGGGGAGGAGGGTAGGGGGAAGAAATCTCTTTAAATCAATTCTATATTTATTTGTATTATGATCAATTGGTCTGGTACATCTGTATAAAGCCATTGCTTAATGTGAAAGACAAAGAAGACGAAAACACTGACGAGGGGAAGCAGAAGAAGAAGAAGAAGAGAGAGGGAGAGAGTTAATAGTTTATATATCGAGTATCCTTGGCCAGGATATGACACTACTCACTCCTGGTTAAACTGAAGGACGAGGAAAACGAGTCGGGGTTATGGGTGGGGCTGGGGGTGAAGTAACAGTGGATGTAGGGTACCGGCGTAAAGAGGATCGTGAACGGTAGCAAGACACACACAGCACCGATTCTGAGTTGAGAGGGATTCGATGGAGATGGATAGCCGTTCCCAAGGGATGCTAATAGTTCCTCGAACGGTCCGCGGAGCTTTGGAACCTGGCTTGATCGCGCGCGTATACACACGGGTTTGCTACGATAGGATAGGATAGGATAGAATAGGATAGGATAGGCCCTCATGTTGGTCGAGCTCAATGGAACATTATGCCGTTCTGCATTGTTGCCCGGTATTACGATGAGCCCACTCGACTCGAGGCCACATGGCGCCAACCGACGACTATAACCGACTTCCACTTTACCGCTTGATCCTAATACTCAAAATGATATCTTCTCTTCTCTTCCCTTCTCTTCTATGTATTATGTTTTCATTTTATACGTGATACAATGTTTCTTTTTAAGTAAAATATAAACTCGAGAAGAGAATGTTTATGTATATGCATCTTTTTTTTTAGGAATTCGATCAAATGAAACGTGTTGTTATAACAATTTGTTTGAAATAAATCTTTTGTCGAAATTAAGATCAATATTAGGGTGAACAAAAAAACCTTTCAATCTAATTAATAATATAAGTTTGAAGATTATTATACAACTAAATAATAAACTAACCTGTATATCAGTTTACGTCTGACGCTTCTTTTGAAGAATCCACTGCAACCATTGCACGCTAAGATCCCATAATGTTTACCAGAACTGGTATCACCACAGACAACGCATATGAGACCAAGACTTCTTGGTGTCTTGCTACTATGTTGCGATTGTTGTTGCTGTTGTTGTTGCTGTTGTTGTTGTTGTTGTTGCTGTTGTTGCTGCTGTTGTTGTTGTTGTTGATGTTGTTGTTGAACTTGACTTAAAAGATGTGGATGTCCGTTACCGAGTGCGGTAAGATACGGTGATCTCGCTAAAGGAAAATCCGTCGGCATTCCTCTGCAAAGTGGCACAGGACATTCTTGTACTGGTCTCGAGGCGTAAGGATCGTGACTGGATGTAGATCCTGTCGCTCCTAATGGACTATACCGTTCCGGTAATCCAGGAGATATCACACTACTCTCACCTGAATCTGTTAAACAAAACGATATATACAGGTTAGGTTAGATTAATAATAAATCATATCAATCTTGTTTCGTTTAAATGATATTTTAACATTTGTTTTTCATATCAAGAAGAAATATTTTTCTCAAATGTATATTTATTTATTTTACTTTCGATATATATTCAGACTTTGTACAATTGTCTTAACGAATACGATGATGATGATGATGATGATGATGATGAAAAAGAAGAAGAGAAAAGAAAATAGGAAGGAAATGTTGACGCAGCATGTTGTCGGTCTTTTAATTGTATTCAAAGATATAAATAAAAATTTGATTTGTTTTTTCTACTTCTTCTTCTTCTTATTCTTATCGCAATCGTTTCTTTTCACGAATAACATTTAATCACGCGATTAAAGAGCAAGAAAAGAATAAAAATATATACTCTTATCGTTTTAAATATAAATTATGTCTTGAAAGATAATTTTTTCTTTCTATATATAATATTTTTTGTTGACATCAAATCAATTAATAATCGTAGACCACGAGACGAAAGGATTTACGCTAAGGGATGAGATGACTTTTCTCCCTGTTGGTTCAAATCTTTGAACGAGATTTCGTACGATTTGATCGATCCTCTCATACCGTACCACCATAGTATCAAACTAATCCTAGAAATCTCTTTCGCATGTTCCGATATCAAAGCAACCAACCCCCTTACCCCTAAAACTGTGCAAGAACGTGCCCTGACCTCCTCCCCTTATACTTCTAACCTCATCCCAACATACTTCTACCCCCTTTCTATAGCTTTTATGGATGCTCTCCATCCTTGATTGATTCTCACACGAAACACAGGGTTCGTAAACAGGAAGATAGGATATATAAATATAATAATTGCATTTTATTCAAGTTTAATACGATAACGTTATGAATCGGCACGTAGAATTTACGTTCTACTTGTTTTGATGATTCCGATATGCAGATCCCATCTGATACCAATATTATTACATATTTTATTGAACGTTTACAAGGATCTTATAAAAATTCGATTAAAGTCTATCTATCTATCTAAAAAAAAATAATTATAAAAATTAAATTAAATGAATATTTTCTTTTTTACCGAAGCTTTTTTCCACCCTCTTCCCCGTTCTTCAATCTTCCCCTTTAACAAATTATTATACGGAGTATATAAATTTGTTATTTCTCGTATAAAAGTCGTCTATATGATTAAAAAGAATTATACGAAGTTATTTAAAATCGTTTTCTCTAAGGTTGGTTTTTAGAATAACGAGTGGAGGAAGGGTCACCCCCTTTTTGTTTCCAAAGTTATTACGATGAAATATTATGATCGGGAATTAAAGTCCTCGAAAAAATTACAGAACATAGAAGAGAATCTTCTCTCTTTTTTCCTATCAAAGAAGAAGAAGAAGAAGAAAAAGAAGAAGAAGAAGTCAGTCAGTGTTTCTTCTTTTTCTTTTCCTTTGGGAGATGACACCGTTTTTCGTCTTCGATTCCCCTTTTTAAGGATTACCTTCAGGGATCGTAGAGGCAAACAGTATTTACATCGAGAAATGAGTTTTGAAAAAGCTCAGAAAGTAAAGAGATTTATTTGCCATAAATATTTATACCATTTATCTTTTTTACTTTCTTTCTTTCTTTTTTTTTTTTTTCTTATGACGAAAAATAAAGAAGTTTTTCTTATATAAGGAAAAGAAAAAATATAAATCATAAACTTATCATATTCAAAATATATTAAATATGAATATCTAATTAATAAAGAAATTGTAAAAGAAAAAAAAACATGTATATATAATATAAAACGATGAAGGTAGATAATAGTTCAAACGAAATACGATTTTTCACACCGGTCTATTAGTCACAGGGGGATGAAAAGGGTGTGAGGAGTCTATCGTAGAAATCGTATTTGTCGAATCGAAAGCTCGTTTGGATTGCTCGTTAAATGCCATGGGGGTTGGAAAGAGAGAGGGAGAGAGATAGAGAGAAAAAAGAAGAATAAAATTACCACTCACCCATTTCCCATACAACATTCCCCATTGGCTATACTCATTTACGAATGAGTTACATATTTATACCTACATATACTATGTTAACCAAATGAAAAAAAAGGTACCACATTAATCTCGGAAAAAATGGTAACTAGAACCGATAAAAAAAAAAGGTTCGAACCCGAAGGGTACCTTCCATCCTTTCTAATACACCTTTTGCCTCTTATTTTGCCTCGAAGTTACCCTTTCGAAGCATCCTTCGACGATTTTAACCATGAAAAATATTCTCTCAGTTTCTGAGAGTTAGCAAAAGCATCGAAGCGTCCCTCGAAATACACACAGACCGGGTACCCGTTTGCCGATCACCCTTGTCCCCCCTATTCCTCTTCGTCCTCGTCCTCTTCGTGTTCACCCCGTTCCCCCCTGTTATCCCCCTATCGTTGGAAGTATCCAACGATGATCCCGTAATACGAGGGACGCAGGTGGCGCCTCGCCATCCGCCAGCATTGATATGCTAATGAAATTTGACGCCCCTGCTGTCGCCTATCTTTCTCTCTCTCATTCTCTACACACACANACACACACACACACACACACACACACACACACACACACACACACACACACACATATATATATATATGCATCTAGTTCTCTATGTATTAGTACTACCTATTCGTGCATTCTCTCTCTCTCTCTCTCTCTCTCTCTCTCTCTCTCTCTTTCTATTTCTCCCAATCACCTTCATCGTAGATTTCAATTCTGAAGCTTGGAGTCGTCGAGAGGAAGACACTTTCTTCTTTCTCGTTTAACCCCGCACGTTCGAGACGAGGTTCCGCATCGTGTCGTGCATTCCGCCAGGCCATAACGAAATTTCATTACTCTAATGGCCTAACGATGTTCCCCGTATTCTATTGTATATACAGACACACACACATATCCATATATATATTGATAGATATTGGTAAACGCGTATAGAGAGAGGGAGACAAGTTTGGTTGTGTGAAAAACCGATTCGTATATTAGCGTATTCGATGCGTGTACCAATACGTATATATATACATACGCATTGGATTTAACTGATAACGACATTATGAGAGCTTTCGAAAGCATCGAATCAAAGGAATAATCGTGATACTCTTCTCTATATAGTCCTGAATGTTACGTGTGACAGCAGACGAACGTGATCGCTCGCAGATTGATTTTATCCAAACACATATGAGGAAGTATAATATAGTGTGTGTGTATGTGTGTGTGTGTCTGTCTGTACTATCTTTACTCTCTCACATCGATTGATTGGAGTGTGATCTATTTGACAGGAATTCGATTATAATATAAACATTTTTATCGTTCTCTAAAAGTTATTTCCAATAGATCTGTGTTCAACCTGAACTGGACTACTATGGGGTAACACGATTTTCTTTCTTTTTCTCTTTTTCTTCTCGTTTAATTAATTAAACAAGATCGTGACGCGTGCTTAGAGAAAAAGAGATAGGAGTTATTTTTTTTTTTTTTAGATTTGATTAGCCCACCGTTGATGTAAAAAATTTAGTTAGGTAGTTTTGTAGCCCATTTCGTGTCTCGACGTCTACAGGAGAAAATTTCGTTTCTAGTAAATTTTCCTCTCTTTTTCTCTGTCAAAAAAGAATAGAAAAAGTAACAGACTCACCGTGACGGATACTGAGTGGACTTGCAGGACTTCGAGGATGTTCCGAACCCGTTTCGTTTTGCGATTGCTGTTGCTGATGTTGCAAATCTCCCGAAGTACCAACGGTCGTTGCTCCGTTCATGATGTTTTCTCGATGATCATCGAATCTCACCAACGGAACTTCACCTAAAAATTTAATCAATCGAACAAGTAATGATAATGATTGTCGAACAAAAATATAATTATTCTTGATTTCGCAACGATCACGTATTTACGGCGAATAGTCACGGTACAATGTTAAATCGAACTATTAGTGTTATTTCCTGTGTGATATATTTTAATAACAATTTCGTATAGTTATTTAATATTACATTAACAATGTCAACCTTCTAAATTATTCCTGATTAAAGATCGTTCCATTAATTTATTTCGCGAATCTATTTTGCATTTATTGTCGAGTGTGTATTTTTGAACCACAATATGCATAACGATATTCACTTATTTGCTTTCGAATAAATATTATCACTTAGCAATAAATAAAAGGAAACGTTTTCTTTCGATAAATAATTGTTAAATAAATAATGTAATAAATAAGTACTTACCAAGTTCCGGCTCACCAAGAAAATCTCTGATCCTTTCCGTGATTCTTCCGTATTTCTTACCGCTTTATAATATTAACAATAAACAAAATAACACTCGTCGTCGTAACACGCTACCTTTCTTTTTTTTTTTTTTTAACTACAATATTATATTTTAATTACGATGCACGAACCAACAAACAAACGAACGAAGAGAAGTGAATCAATCAATTTCACCGAACGTTCAATAAGTTCTGAAGCAAAGTTCGCGAGCGATTGCAAGTGAAATGGAAGAAGAATAAGAATAAGAATGGCATATAAGGAGTAGTAAGTGGTGGAGGAAGAAGTAGAAGTTAAGAGAGGGAGGACAGCAAAGAATGATAAGAATAGAAAGAAAAAGAGAGACAGAGAGAGTAATAGATTAGGAAAAAGTAGGCTAATGAGGAAGAAAACAAGCAAACCTCGAGAACTAAGAAGAGAAGTTTTCTCTCTCGTTGAGTAGCGCAAAACGAGAGAGAATCCTCGCGAATATCTTGTGTCTCGTCGTGTTCCTAGTCGTCGACTCGTTGCCGTTCGTCGTGTTCCTCGTCGTCGAGGTAGAAGAACATCGATATCGTGCTGCTGCCAGTAGTAGTAGTAGTATTAGTAGTAGTAGTAGTAGTAGTAGTAGGTAGTGTAGTAGTCTACTAGTATATTCGTCGTCGTTCTCTCACTCGGTTTCCATACTTTGAACGCGTGGGTGCGAGCGAGTAAGTGAGATAGAAATGATAAGAGAAAAAGAGTAAGAGAAGATACATAAAGAGAGAGAGAGAGTGTAAGAGAGAAGTAGAGAGGTAGAAAGAGAAGTAAGAGTGGGCTCTAGCGGTGATTGGTCGACCGACACTTTTGAAGGCGGGATCAGGAGGCAACGGCGGAAAAACGACAAAAACAAGGAAGGCCAGGATTTAACCTATAGCCAGCACGTTTGACGCGCGACACGAGCCTCCTCCTGCAAGTATCCAACTGGGTAGGACGCGTGCGCACCACCACCTACAACCTGCCACAATGTTAGTAGTAGTAGTAGTAGTAGTACAATGTGTAGAGGATCCTAGCTCATTCATCCTTCTCCCCTCTCCGCCCTTTCCCTCGCCATCTCGGCCTCCTACGTACAATTGTTGATCGTTGGCTACACTCTGCTCTCCTCAATCCCTTCTTCCTCCCTCTTTCTCCCGTAAGTTCGCTCCCTTCCACGGGAAACCGCTTCTATCCGATAGGTCCCTTTCGTCCTGCCTCTTTGACGGCCCAAGGTGGGGGATCGCCAATTCGAATATCGGAGTAAAGAGAGAGAGAGGGCTTCTGTTGGTTGGTTCGATCGAAAGACGAGATCGACGGGCAACGATCGGAGCAGCGACCGTCAAACTCCGATGCTTTCTACTACTACTATTACTGCTACACCACCACCACAACCATCACCATCACCACCACCGTCAACTACTACTACCACTATTTACTATCAGTATTTCTACTACTACTATTACTACTAATTCTACCTCTTGATTCTCTTCCTCTCTTTGATACTATTCAATAATATTTTTTCTTTCTATTCAAATAAACTCGAGTTTAACTATTTCAGATAAACTGTAATAATTTATAAATACATATATATAATATTATATAATAATGATTAAATTATTTCATGGACAATTATTATTATTATTATTATTATTATTATTATTATTATTATTATTATTATTATTATTATTATTATTTAAAAATCATAGCTAAAATTGAACTCGTATTAAATTGTCCATTTGTTTCTTTAGATCCTATTCCGATGAAACAATTCACTCTTGTGAGACCTGACAGCATCGATCAGACCAGTTCACGTTCATCAACAGATCGCGTTTCCTGGAAAGTAAAGTTCTATGGGAAGCCGAGAGTAGCAATGTTGATGGTGGTGGTGGTGGTGGTGGTTGTGTGGTGGTTGGTGATAAAGTCGTTTTGAAGGGGGATGTGTTGTCCGCCATGCTGGATTTCTGCCTTCGGACGACACTCGGTGGCTTTCTGGTAATCGTTGCCGGGGATGCAGCAGCAGCAGAGAGAGAAAGAGAGATTCCTCCTCCCCCTACCAACGAGGGAAGGATCGTGGCCACGCCCCTGAACTACTAGCCAGACCAATGACGCCAGGACATCGCGACGTTACCGTCCACCAATAGGATTACCCTCTGATACGGTCTTTCGCTTGTCAGCGATCGCTACCCCCTTTCCACCCCCACCCCCAACCCCAATCTACTACCCCTCCTCCTCTTCTTCTTCTTCTTTTCCTCTATCTCCCTCAACCAACCACCCCAACCTACTACTACTATTATTCCTCATCCTTCTCTTTGGCTAAAGCCACCGGGGTGCTTTTCAATTTCGGTTCTACCCTTCTTCCCTGCTCGTAAAAAGGTCGAAGGCACCTATTCGCGCCCCCACCCTATATAGTTTACCTGTGTTTTCTACTATGGTATATATATATATCTGTTTCTATCTATTTATCTATTTATCTATCTATCTATGCATCTCTGTTTATCCTTCTTAACACGCTTTACGCCCTTCCGACACCGGTAAGCTCACTCTCTTGATTCGATCCTGCACTCTTGGGGGGTGGTACGAACGAAGATGAGGGTGCTCTTATTTATCGTGATAGCGGATTATCTTCCTTACGTGATACACCGACGAAGAAAAATTGTTGACTATAATTTCGATAGCCCTTTCCCTTTCCCTTACTTACTTTCGATCGTTTTCTTTTCAACTTTTAATTTTCTTTAGTTATCACTATTCTTTCTATTCTATTTTTTTCTTATGCAAATGTTTACAATATATACTTCATTTAATAATAATTAATAATCATAAATAATTACAATCTATCGTATCAAAGTAATTAATAATTAATTAGGCGATTACGTTTATCGGTGAAACTATTTTCAATGTTTTCTCTATAGCTCGACATATATCCTCGAAAACTTTTTCATCGTCATTTTCGGCGTTAATTACCGCGAGTTTGTTTTTGTAATGACGTAATATAGGTTTGTTCATTTTGTGAAAACCTTTTATACGTTCTTTCATTTTTTCTTCACTTGCCTCGAGTCTTTCGGTCAACGTAACTGCCTTTGCCATTACTCTTTCGCGTAATACTGAATTTCTTGCTGATAAATAGATCAACAGATCAAACGGTTTCACCTGTGAATTGTACAATTAATTATCATCGAATGTTGATTAGAAAATGAATGAATTAAAAATTGATACGAACTTGTCTTTCAAATAATTTTCCTTGATCTTTTTCACGTGGAAATCCTACTAATAAAAAACCCCTTGCCGTGTTTAAATGTGCCAACAACTTAGTTTTAATGAGTTCTATCAAAACGTCGGCTGGTACCAATCGTCCTTGAGACATGTATCTTGCTAATACAACTCCTTTAACTGATCTAGTGTGTACCTCGTCTCGTAATATGTCAGAACTTATTATATTAACCAAACGAAATTTTTCTGTTACTTTTATCGATTGTGTTACTGAAAAAAAAATGACAACAATTATTCGTTCACTTTGAGATGTTCAAACGAGAAGTTTATTATTTATGATATTAATACTAACATTTTCCTGAACCTGGTCCACCGATTAGGCATATAATCGGTGGATTAGCATCTCTAACGGCAGATGCATCGATTCCGCTTTCTCTCGGAAGAATTTCCTCTAAGGGATCCCTCGGTTTAAGGCAATTGCCCATAATATTGCCCTTTTCGGATGAGAAACTTACGACGACCTAACACGTTTTTATTTTTCTCTCTTTTTTTTTTCTTTTTTATTTTTTCTTATATATATATATATTTATTATATTTATAAATAAATGATTATTATTATAGGTTCGAATAAAATTAATGACAGATCGTATGACACGAAGTACGTAACATTAGAGATATTCATTTTCCTGATATTCGAGATATTTGTTAATATAATTTATTTTAAATATTAAATTATTAGATTATTTATTTGATATCGTTAGATGTTACATGATCGAAGTAATTGGAGGATTCCCCCTTTTTTCCTTTATATCAACGGTTGGTAAAACAGACTCATAACACCCACGCATAAAATGGATCATTTTATAGTACCTATTGTTGGTATTAGGATTTTTCGATACTGTATTATCGATGTATGAAAGTTAATAAAATTTAAAAATAGTGCGGGATAATAAAATTTCAATAAGGTAGAATTTGTACATTTACGTCATGCGAGATTATTCATTTAAATCGAATCATATGTGAGAAGTTAGAAAAGTATACATTTTAGAATTGCAAATTAAATGCGACATGTAAAAGAAGGTGTATACAATTATGAGTAATCAATTATTTTTATCCGAATTAATATGAATCAGAAATAAAAAAAAAAAGTGAAAAATTCTTCCACGAATCGTGAATAATCTGTAAGATAATATTTTTGTAATGTCTCCTTTAATAAAAAAAGCAAAAATAAAAGAAGAAGAAGAAGAAAAAAAATAAAATAATAAAAATGAGGTTACAAACACGTTGCTTTTACGAATTGTTGTCAATTTTAGAAAAACGTATCAACGATAACGAAGTATTATTTAATAAAAGAATAAAACTATTATCAAAATTTTTTAAAAGACATGGTTCGAACAATTGTCTGCCACGAGATCGAAGTGAATTACGTTGCATAGAAAAATGTCGTGTTGCAATCGTCGGTTTGGGTGGTGTTGGTACATCATTGGCTCATCTGTTGAAGATGTTTCCTGGAACATTGACAGAACTTCGATTATTAAATAGAAGTGATCCATCAGGAATAGTTGAAGAATTAAATCAATTACCAATAAAACTTCCTGTTTATGGTATAGGTGGAATGGAGAACCTTTGTCAAGGTTTAAAAGATGTTGACATCGTTGTAATATCGGCAGGTGCAACGAGAAAGAAGGATACACCACGAGAACATCTTTTCTCGGTTTGTATGTTGATAAAAAAAGAAAAACAAAACCTACCAATAAGAATCAAAAACGATATAAGATAATTAAACATTTGGAATTATTGATTTATAATAGGACAACGCAAAGATTTGCGCTAACATATGCAAGGCCTGTGTACAATCATGTCCTACAGCATTGATAGTTATAATAACAAACCCCATAGACACATTGGTACCAGTAGCCGCTCATATATTCAAAAAACACGGCTGTTACGATCCATCGAAATTATTTGGTGTTTGTTATTTGGATCAATTAAGAGCACGCCATTATTTTGCCGATTTGATTGGTGCTAATCCAAAGTGGACTTACGTTCCCGTTGTAGGTGGTCACTCGGAGAATACTACCGTACCATTGTTCTCTAAGTGTCGACCTAGCATAAAATTAACGCCAGAAGAGATGATGAAGCTTACCAAGGCTGTTAGAATAGCCGGGAAGAAGGTCATGAAGGTAATTAACTTCAACGGTTTATTACTACTTCTTTTGATTCTTTTTATTTTTTTCATAATATAAGAAGGCAAAAAAAATCTATCCAAAGGATGTAATTTTAAAATTCTTTTATCTGACAAATGCGGAAATTAATTGGCCGTTTATTGGCGCCAACCTTGAAGCATTTATAATCGGGAGAAAGGGGGAAGGGATACAATAATGAGATAAAGTTAGAACTTTAATTAAATTTCAATACTTAAAAATTGCTATTTATGATCTTGCTATTTGTGCCAAATAATAATAATAAGAAGAACAATGATAGATATTATTATTCTAACTTAAAGTAAGAGAATGTGTTACTCTTAATTATTTTTAGGCAAAGAAATCAAGTACAACGTATTCCATGGCATCGGCAGCCATGTATTTCATTCACAGTCTTAGCCGTGCCATTCACCACGAGCCTAACGTGATTATTTCCGCATACACGGAATCTCGCGTGACCCCAGCTCGTTTCTTCTCCAATGAATTGCTACTCGGTCCAGCTGGCATCGATAAAAATTTAGGTTTCGGTAGGGTTAACGTGTTCGAACAGAAACTCATTGACGATGCGGTCAAGGTCTTACAAAAACAAATTGCCATGGTTGAGGAATTTATCGATAAACTCCATGTTTAATATCAATCGTCGATTTTATTGCCTGTTGTGCTTGTTTTATATATATATATAAAAAATATAAAACATATATATAAAACATAATATATATACATATATATAATAATAAAATTAATTTAATCATATTATCGTATCATTTAGTTTTCGTGTTGAATTTCATATCAACGTGTAATAACCAGTTAGAAATGAATTTATTGATAGGAATTAAATAGGTGAATTATAATAGTGCAATGATTAAAATACTACTCAATGAATTTTACGAGTTGTTTTATTTATACGATTATTTATTATTAAAAATGTCATGCAATAAGAATCGAAACTTATGATCCTGTTTAACGATCTTAAACACGTGCTAATACAAAGTTAATGTTTTGCGTACTCTGTCGTCATTTTAGCCCCACTTATCAAACGCAATTGGTAGTAGCATGAATTTTCATATGAGATAAGACTTTTAGAAATAATTTCTACGTTTACTATGCGTGCCAACTAAATGTGCTGGTATACCACAATTACTACCTTACGTATAATAACGTTGAAAGCGGAGGCGTAACACACATATGATTCTTAAGTCGTGTCGTAAATTAGTCATATGCCAATAAGCGTTTAAATTATACCTAGTTCTCAAAGCTTAAGCAAATTATACTATATGGAAACGTTATGATCTTTAAGATATCACCTTGATCGATGAAAATACATCGTGATTTAATTAATCGCGAATTTAATCATTCTTTTGTTTAATATAAATCTAACGAAAAATATCTACGCAATCAAATTTATAGCAAAACACATGTTAACACTATGACGTTTGGTGGCTCCACGTTGGTGCCATGCGAAAACTTTTGAATAAGTGCTGGTGACTTCACATTGGTGCCACGCAAAAATTATCCGGTAAGTGCCGGTGGCACTACGTTGGTGCCATTCGGAAATTATCGGGTAAGTCCGATATATATACATATTTTATTATATTATATTTATATTCATATTATTATATATTTATATAATATTATAATATAATATAATTTTATAATTATAATAAATTATAATTATTTTATAATATATTATATATATATATTATATTTTATAATAAATTATATAATAATCGCCGATACGAAAAAATCAAGATTAGACGTGCGAACGGCATAGTGTTAATACTTCAAGATTTTTCTTACCATTAGTTACGTTTGAATTCGAAGAAATTAGATTATTAAAATATAATTTAATATTGTCAATAATTTGGAATAATTGTTCGTAAGTTAATGCAAAATACTAGGAACTTCTAACATATGCATGTATACACTCAACGATCGAATAATCTGATGTTTTAACAAGGTCGCGAATGAAATATCGCGGTTAATCGTAGACGTAAAAACGACTATAAGCTGGATTAGAAGGGAACGTTCAGTTGAATTTTGTATAAGATTCGGACGACGACTATGACTATGACGACGAAGAACTGGTACGATTATTATACTCTTTGATATTGTAACAAGTTGCATTGGTAAAACGAATGGAGGTAAAAGCAAACGTGAATCGTTATGCGAATAGTTATGCCCTCGTCGATTGGTAATGTCGCCATAGTCGTAATCATCAAAAGTACCGACTCCAATATAAGACTCTTATACTATATAAATAAGTTGCAATTTTATTTGCATTCAATTTCAATGATATACGACGATTTCTTAGAATTCTATATAAACGTTTTAAACTCGTTCGAACTTTGTCGACAAATCTAAATAACTTTTCCTTATTTTTATTTCTATTTATTTTCTACATTTTTTATTAAATTATCCAATCTCCTTTTTCCAACCTTTTTATTACAAAAAAAAAAAAATTACAAAAAAAAAACAAAAATCACGATAACAACGGTATCACCAGCCTTAAGCCAAGTTCTTTTTATCTATCCTGCATATTAGATTATCTGTAAACTAACTTCTATCTTAAAATACTCTTTATTACATTAATTTTAAAGTACCGATAAGCCGAGTAACTACTAACCAGTTCCTAACGTTTCGATTGAAACTCATGGGATAGACTTGTCGATGGTATGGGGGTGAAGGGAAAGAAGGGAATCTCTATTTCGCTAGAACTACTATGCACGGACAAAGATTTATCGAAAGAGTGATGCCGAAAGGGTTATATATCGGATGAACAAGTATTCCTTCTTCTCCTCCACCTCCTTCTTCATAGTTGTCGTCCCTCGTCCTGATGATCATCGTGGTGGTCATGGTCGTGGTGGTTAGTAGATGCTCGAAACTTTCGAGATCTCTCATTTGCTGGCAGATTTATGTAAAGTACTTTGACGTAAGATGTTCTATACTATCTAAAGATGTGTATGTGTATTTGTATGTATGTATATATGTAAGTAAGTTATACATTAATGATATTCCAAGTCGCATATCTGAAATATTTCAGATTACGTCGTTCCAACCGATCCATTTATATTACTTCTTACTTCCTAGATGTACCTACGCGTTTCTGTTTTCAATCTTCTCTTTCTCTTTCTCTCTTTTTTTCTAGGAAGATGCCGTACGATAATCTTCCTTTGTGCTATATCGAGTAATAGTAATAATAGTAATAGTAATGGGAGAGACAGAGAGAGAGAGAGAGATGGGAGGTTGGTCTTAAACTATTGGGTTGGCAAGAAAGTCATTTTGGTTTTCTAGCGTGATATAAAACTCAATTGTTTCTAAACTAACAGTTGTAAAAAAAATTACACGGAATTTGTTTCTATAGCAACCTAAAAGTGTTAACTACCAAACCTCAAAAGAAACAAATTCTAATATTAACAAGAAAAATAACGAAACAAACATAATGCCGAACATTAATGCCGAACAAACATACAAGCCGAAATTACTTTCTTGCCAACCCAATATATAATAGATCATTTTCTCTTTCTATTTCTATTTATCTAATTCTTATTACTAAACGCATCCATCTCATCGATCCATTTATTTCTAACCACTCCTTATGTTTCACCGATGTATCATCGATAATGCACCACGTTCGGTTTGCTGCTGCTACTGCTGATGCTGATGCAACTTTATTAATGACATTAAACAGCCAGCTAGACCTACTCCAATTCGATAGAGAAAGAGAAGAGAATGAGAAATGGATATAGGAGAGTAAAAACATATCGAACGGAAGAATAATAACCTCTATCTCTTTCTCACTCTCTCCCAATTTCCGTATGTTTTTCTTCTACGAGAATAAATGACGACTTTTGTTAGGAACTAACAACAACAACAACGTGCATTTCAAAATATGGATCAAGGAAATCCAAAGTGGATGAGGGGGTGGGAAATCATCCCCTTATCAACAGTTTTACTCAAATGAAAAATTTGTCAAAGTTTCAAGTGAAGATAGCAAAAAACTTTAGAAGAGGTTCGGTTGGGTTGGGGGTGGAGTGGTGTGGTATGGTGTGAGGTGAGGATTATGATGATAATACTCGAGGTCATAGCACATGAAGAAGAACTATTCGAACGAGGTTTTCAGGTCGTTATCTAACACAAGTGTATAAAGAATTTCATTTGGGAATTCTCGCGATTTTCCGAATTTCGCATCGAGTCAAAGTATTTTTAACGGATCCGCTCATACTCTAATATTAAACCACACGTACACACGGAGTTGCTGGGCCGAGTCGAGTGGACGTAGAGAACGGATTCCGGCCCGATAAAGTCCTTCTCGAGATGCCATTAGAGAGAAAGAGAGAGAATCAGTGAGTGAAAGAGAGAGAGAGAGAGAGAGAAACCTCGGGCACCGGACTTTAACTCACGGAGAGCTTATTTCTCCTATGGCATAATAAATAACAAGCTCGAGGTCTTGAGAATGAAAGAAAGAAAGAGAATTTAAACAAAAAAAAAAAAAGAAAAAACAAATCACGATAAAAACGAATGAAATATAAAAAATGGTTTAAGACAAAAAAAAAAGACCCACCCAATAGATTCGTAACTTCATATGACTCATTCACTCACTAACTAACACTATCATTCTGATCCTCGGAGTCTTTGACACGATTCGCTAAAGAAGACAACTGTAATAATTAGGACACGTTCGAGATATCGAGATTAAGTTCAAATTTAATCGGCAATGTTTTCTGACAATTTTGTTTGAAGATTTTTATTTGATTTTTTTCTTCTTCTTCTTCTTCTTCTTCTTCTTCTTCTTCTCCTTCTTCTTCGTCTTCTTCTTAATGATCATCTAATTGACCGTTTCAATCGAACGACACCTCCTCCTCCTCCTCCCCCATCTCCCGTTATCCTTTTATTCTCTTTTCAGTTTAAGAACTGACGTTAAACTTTAGTCACCTTGGCATAATTATCGTTAGATCGTGTGCGAGTTGTTCCACGTTCATAACCCATCGATCCTTATCATCTGTCTCTCTATCTTTCTTTCTCTTTCTATCTGACTATACAGGGCAACGTTGACCCGACGTTAATGATACTAATGAATCGTGTCATCGAGTCGTTGACACCACCAATGGAGGTAGCAAAAAACGGAAGTTATCTCTGCGCTTCGCTAGATTATCATCATCATTATCATCATCATCATCATCATCATCATCATCGTAATAGTTGCAAGGATTAATAAATATGCGTATGTCTGTGTGTGTTTGTGTTCCTCATTTTTATCCATGTTTAATGATTAAAAACACACTAATTGATCCCCATTTCTTTTTTTATCATTCTTATTCTATTTAATCGATTACAAATTCGTGAAGTAGCTAGTACAGCTTATGTTTTCGTTTCTGTTCATTTTAATACGATTAGACGTATGAAGATGCAACAACACTTTTCTAATGTCTTCTAGGAATACAGCAATTTAACGCCATCGTGGCCAGACTACTGGCGCTGTTGTTAATTTCATCTCAACGGCATACGTCAATAATTTCTTTCACAGAGCTTGTTACTCCATACTTTATAACTCACTTGCTTATATGTTACGTTTTAATTGTAGATTATCCCTTAGTTGATCTTCAAATTTTTCTTATTCACCAACGTCATAATCTTAACGTATTATTTTATCGTCTAGTTTTTTTTTTTTTTTTATATTAGATATAAAAGAACCATTTGATGTATTTCCGAGGAAGGTGTTCACTTATTAAGAAACAAATATAAAAAAATAAAACATAAAAATAAAGTAGAGGCAGAAAAAAAGGGGGTAACCGGTCGTAACGAAGATCTCTCTCTCTCTCTCTCTCTCTCTCTCTCTCATCTGTACGAGAGATAAAGTAAAACGCGTTATCCTGGTCATCGGATCCTCTCTTGACGAGATGAGATAATTTCTAGCAAATGAAAAAACATCAATAAAAAAATATAAACTAGATGATGATAACACGATAGTTGTTTTTAATCGATAACCAACTCGGATAATTAAATATCCAAAAAATTGCATTACTAATCCAAATCCTAGTTTTGTTATATTTGATATAATTATTATTTATTTTATTGTTAATGTTAAATTTATTTTATAATGAACCAAAAGTTTGTGCAATTTAAAAATTGCACACATTACGCTATTTGAAAGAACGCGAACTTTTGGTTCACCCTAATAAAAACAAACCAAAATAATTGATAAAGTAAACAAAGTTTAAAGTTCAATATACAGGGTGTCTCAAATTATAAGAAATTGTAATGATCAATATTATAATAAATAGATGAGATGCATTGTACAATAGTTTTTAAAGTGTCGGACGGTATGGTAATAGGAAACGTTTCGTTGCCAGGTGACAGTGGTTGTTGTGTGGCGTCGTGGCATAGTAGTGGCGCCTTAAGCCACGTTCATACCGCACACTCTCCTCTCTCAGAGAGTGCTAGGCCGCAAGTATAAAGTTGCTCCTCCATCGTGGGGAACCGTCAGTTCTAAACGACACCTCTGGAAAGTACGCCGGAAGAATACGCCTCCTTGTTTCTATCTTTCTTTCTTTTCTTACTTTATATATTTATTTATTTAAAACATACACCCACACACACACACACACACACACACACAGACATATCCATACATTTCTTCCCATCCTATTTCATTAAACAGAAAAAAAAAGTTTCATTCCTTCACCACCGGTTAAAAGCATTCCGAGTGTTTCGGATTAGAATTCGAGATGAATTTTTAAGATATCGTAATTCGTCGGGATAAAAGTCGTGATATTATTATTATTATTATAATTTTTATTATTATTATTATTATTATTATTATTATTATTATTATTATTATTATTATTATTATTATTATTTTGTTTTGTCTTTTAATTATTTTCTTTTTTTTTCTTTTTCTTATTCAATTGAAATATCTTTCAGTGATTCGTACAGAACGAAATATCAAACATTACGTGGGATAATTGTTATCGGTGAACGTGCCAATTTTTGGGAAACATGTACAAGACTCATGTATAATATATTCTCGAATATCTCACGTGTCGTTCGTTTGTTTAATTTTACGAATTGATCTCGTATTCGTGCTTTTATCGAAAGCCTAAAAGAACAACAATGTTTTACGTACGTACGAATGTGATATATTTAAATATAACAAATTGATCGTGAACGCGTGAAAAGCACGCATGTGACAATTTTGTATTTTCATTGAATTGTTTTATTAGATGTCAATAAGAGAGCTTGTTGCATCTCGATGCAACAGGTTACGTTCTTCTTCTTCTTCTTCTTCATCTTCTTCTTCGAATTACGTACGTCATTATGCGCATACATTTCCGTGATCTCTCTCTCTCTCTCTCTCTCTCTCTCTCTCACCTATGATATGAGAAAAGTGATACTCTTCGTCGTGTTCTTCTAACTAACAAGATCTCTTCTTCGTTTCACTTGATTTAACTAATAATCGTGTCAAACGACACTCCATGAATTTAATATTCTTTACGTGTTATTTCTTTATATTCGATAATTCTGCTTTTTTTTTTCTTGTCGTTTTTTAAATTACACGCACGCACGTACGTACGCACGCACGCACGCACGCACGCACGCACGCATGAGCGCGTGTATTCAAACGTGACATAGTTTACGATTAGAAGATAAAAGTACAAGTATGTATGTATGTGTGTGTGTGTGTGTGTTCTTTTTTCTCTCTCTCATTTTTATTTTAGAACCGCTTTAAATTTGTTCTACTTTTTTTTTCTTCTTCTTCTACTTCTACTTCTTCTTCTTTTTTTAACGATCGACCTTGACTTTGCAATATCTCAAGAGTTTCTTGCCGAGTATTTTTTTTCTTTTTTCTCGTAGAAGAAAGATCCAAGTCGACTTTGGTAGGCTTATCGTTTATCGGCACATGAAAGCAAAAAAAAAAAAGAGGAAGAGGAAGAGGAGGAAGAAAAGGAAGAGAGGGTGTACCTTTGGCAAAAGTTTAACTCGCGTTAACTAATCAAACGAAACTAATCAAATTTTGCACGCTACAAATTGACGCCTATTTTTCATTTCTTCATTTTTTCATATTTCCCAAAGCTCATGTAAAATATATATATAGTAAACACGTTAACTCATACTAACGCATATTAAACACACACACACAAGAAGGGAAAAACTTATTAATAGTACACGACGTCGCGCGTTCAAAACGTATAATCATAAAAATAAACGGCATTTTAGTCGTCTATCGTTGAAAGGATTCACTCTTTCATTCTTTCTTCCTTTTAACATGAATTCTACTGTGAGTTTGCATATTAAAAAGAAAGAAAAAAAAAAAATTCATTGAGAAACGACGATACTTACGAACAAACTATTTGCTGCTACGTTAAAGATCAACGTATAAAAGCCTTTTACCGCGATTAATATCAGAGAAATATCAGAAATAACACGAATAAATTATGTATACATTAAAAACACCGAGGAAAAAATGTTCTCACGTCTAGTACTAATAAGAAAGTTCTTCTCTTCCCTTCTCTTGCATGTTTTAAAGGTTTACCAGTTGTATGAGCGCACTATGTTGTTGCGTGTATGTACCAAGATAGACGGTTTAATTAATTTACGATCTGTTTTGATACGCGTGCTTCTCGCAGCTAATATCCGCGTAACGAAGTGTAATTTTACGCGTACGTTCGTCACACGTTTAATGCATGCATATTTATATATATATGTATGTAGTATGTGTAGACGCGTGTGCATATTTCTATATAAATATATTTATACATATATATAAGAACACGTATACACGTATACGTTTGTATAGAAGTAATAGGATGACCGAGAATGAATAAAAAGAACGAAAGATTTTAATCGAGCTCACATGCTGCAAGATGTTAGACACTAACTAATTATCCTTCTTAACGTCTATTAAAAGCTTTGCAAATAATCGATAAATAATAATAACGTATAAGGAAGTTACTTTGCTTGTATCGATCTATCGATATCAATTGTAGATAAACAAACGATTTCTTTTTAACTTTTCCCATACCGTTCGAGTTTATTTCCGAGTTATGTGTTTAGATTGCGTTTTAGAATCGTTCAATTCTAATTCCCCGATGGCTGACAACTGGAGCATGAAAAAGAGTTAGATGTGTGTATGTGTATATGTGTATATGTATGCTACGTAACACACCCGCTATTTTAATATATTACACATTAATAACAACAACATGAATTAACAACTTATCAACGATATACTTAATGATATCAAATAGATTTTTTCGATCGTAGGAAAACTGGGAAGATCTCTGTTATCATGAATTTCTCAAATAGAAATTTTCTAAGCAAACTTAGTCGTTTACACATGACCTACTAAACAAGATCAGCGAACACTTCATTAACTCGTTAAAATTGCAACTCCAAACGTTTAACGCGGATTCAACTTGTCTCTCTTTGTTTATCTTATAATATAGTTTAGGTATAGTCAAAACTGTAACTACTCTTTTTATCATTCTTCCTATCATCACCGCTTGACAGTTTTCTCTTCAAAATATTTTTAATCATTCAATTTTTAAGGTGTCATTGTGAACTCAAACAAAAAAACAATAAATATACAAACTGTGATGTGTGATTTAAAATTGTTTCAATGCGTGGGTGTGTTATACGTGCGCCAATGAGTGTTTATTTCAATATCATTGAAAAATTATAAGAAGAAACACGAAGGGGTGTATCGTAAGAAATTCGATCAAACGATGCAATCGTAATTGAATTGAAAAAAAAAAAAAAGAAAAAGAAAAGAAGACAAGAAAAGAATTGTACAATTTTCTTTTTCTTCGTCAAATTCATCGTGTGGTTGTTATCATCCTGTCGTCGAAGATGCACCAATACCAGCACGGATTGTTCTACACTCATCTGCTGCTAACTTTAACGGTAAGTTATGCATTTGCGGTATATACTAAAGGTACCAGAGGTTTGATTTATTGCACCATTAAGGTGTTCTTCGTTCGTCCCTTCTTATGACATCACAGTACCAATATCATATATCAAACGAATGATCATGAAACTCTCGCCACGTCAACCTCTCCACTTTTAAATATATATATATATACATTTTTTATTTTACATACTATCTAACATATATATTCAGATTTCCTTCCTTACACTTCTTCCTATCATCTTTCGTCACGATTTGAATATACACAGGAAATACCATTGAATTTCTCATCCACCTTATCTATAAATAATAAACATTTTAAATAAGATTCTCGTTTACTGACTTTATTACGTACACACACAAAAAAATAGAAAAAAAAAAATTGAACGTTTATTACTAGTAACAGCAGTAGCAGCAGTAGCAGCAGCTAGGCATAGATATTAAAAGAAACAAAAAATTATTCTCACTTTTTCATCTTTCAAAAACTCATCCTCTTTCTCTTTCTCTCTTTCGATCATGTGTCTTCACGTGTTCATAAATTCGTTATACTTTTTTTCATAGCAAGCAGCAGTAAAATCGCATTTCGCATTCGTTTCGACTATAAAAGCTGCCGTTATTGCAACCCGTAACACGATCCTCGTTTTATGAAAGAGAGAATTAAAATGAAAGAAAGAAAGAGAAAGACAGGAGAAAGTTAAAAACAACAACAAAAGAAAGAGAGGGTTGGTTGACTTACCAAAAATAGCCATAGGGACGATCAGAGTCTTATGTGTCACGGTCGAATATTATAATTTGTAAAGCTTCTCGAAAATCTTCCCCAATCCTTTCTTTTTTTCTTTTTGGGCCCAACCAAAGTCGAATGACGACCTACGCGTTCTAAGAGACTACTCGTCGAGAGACAAATTACAGTTTTGTGAGTCTTTTTCTATATATTGGGTTGGCAAAAAAGTAATTTTGGTTTTCTTTCTTGCCAACCCAATAATATTGTATATATTATTTTATAATATAATAATATGTATATGTATAAATATAATAGTATATAAATAATAATAATATAAGTATTTTAAAATATATAATACTATTGGGTATATTGGGTATATGTGTAACATACTCTCTATTATATATATATTACTTATATTATTTTATAATATAATACACGATTTACTCGACGCTTAAAAGCGCCCATGCCATGGCATATTTACTTCCTTGATCTTCCAAAACGTCCCTGAACAAATTTATTCTTTCTCTTTCTCTCTGAACTGTCCCTCCGTCTATCACTGTTTTTTTCTTTCACTATAAGATTCCCCCTTCTCTCACTCTTTTGTACTTCCTATTCTTTTTATTTATTTATTATTTTTTTTTTTATTTTCTTTTATTTGATTCGTTCCGTTTCGTTCTCTCTACCACGAGATAATCCTCAAAGATGGGTTGTCTTCTTTCTACCAAGCAATAAAAATAATAATCATGGGACAAGACGGTAGGTTACTTTCGTTTCTTTCGATGATAAGAAACTTTCTTTCTATTCTTTTTATTTTCTTTCTTACGAAGCTGAAGAAGAATAACTTTTTATCTGACTCCAAAAATCTCGTACTACTACTCTACGTTTCTTTTTCTTCTGATGATAATAATATCAATAACAAAAAATCTAATAAAATTAATTAATCTTTCTCTTTGTATCTATCTTGAAAGAAATGAAATTAATCCAAGTGCATACTCTTCTTTACATAATATTATTTCATTATCGATAACAACACACACATACATTGTAACGAAGACAAATCATTTCATTAACGATAGCCATGATGAAATCAAAAATGAAATCAAAAGAAAAGAATTGTACAAGAATTTTCAAATGTAAATTTGCTTTGCTTCGAATACCTCATTCTATCTCTCTCTCTCTCTCTCTCTCACACACACACATACACACACACACACACACACATATATATATATATATATTGTAGCATAGGAAGATTTATCCAGGAAGTTTTACATCGTGTGGAACGCGTTCTTTCAGTTAAATGTTGCGAGTAATGCGTATTCTTAGACACCGGAGGATGGGTATCGGCAGGAATTATATTCCTCTCTTACTTCTTCTCTAAAGAAAAATAGAGATAGAGAGAAAGCGAATGAAAATTAAAAAAGAAAGAAAGAAAAAAAAAATTTGAGAAAGAAATAGAGTAAGAGTGAACGAGAGTAAAAGTATACGCATATAAAAAAAAAAACAGAAAAAAAAAGAAATAGAATTCTTTTTTAAAATGAAACTGTATTAATTTCTTTTTCTTCTTCTTCTTCTTCTTCTTCTTCTTCTTCTTCTTCTTCTTCTTCTTCTTCTTCTTCTTCTGCTGCCGTTGCTGTATCGTGTAAATCAAAGCTCAGGCAAGTGGTGACGCACCTGTTTCGAGAACGAGACTATCCAAACAGAAGTCTCGTTCTCGATACGTTAACAACTACAATTTACCACGATTATTTTATAAAAGCAACGAGATAAGAAGTTTTTGCATACGAAAGAAATTCCTCTAGTCGATTAAAATTATTGTGGAGTCGCATATTTGTTCACGAGTCTACATAAAGTTCAATTAATGCACAAATGTACGACAAAAAATTTGTTCAATTTATGAGAATCAATGAACTACGAAAAAATTCGTCAATGCACGAATCCTACGCTCATTGATCATTGACGATTTTTTTCGTAGCTCATTGAATTTTTTTCAAAATGCACGAATCCTCCGATCATTGACTAATTTCTTCGTAGACTCATTGAAATTTTGTTAACATGTTCCGTGCCAGCCAAGCCCTTTTTACCTGACTTGTCATTCAGGCCATTTCATTTTGCTTGAACAAAATCAACCATTACATGTAATTATTAATTATTGTAAATATAACAATTAAACAAACTTATGTGCTTTGTTCTATACTACATTTTGTATAATACATCAATATTTTAATAGGAATATTTTTTCTACAAAATTCAATTTGTTATAAATATATATTTTCATTTAAATAAATATGTCTAATGGTAAGTATACCACCGGTGGTACACGTGGCATGAAACGTGTTAAAAATGCACGAGTCTTCGATCATTGACGAATTTTTTCGTAGACTCATTGAAATTTTGTTCAAAATGTACGAGTCCTCCGATCATTGACTAATTTCTTCATAGACTCATCGAACTTTTTTCAAAATCAATCATTTTTTATAGTAAATAAACCCTACAATTATCTTACTTCTGATACTCTGCATTCTCTAGAAGCTTACTTTTATTTATTTTCTTCTCTTTTGTTTTTTGTTTTTGTTTTTTGTTTTAATTTATTTCAAAACGATTCCTCGAGGTCGACTACATATCGAGAGGGATCATTTTCATTTTACACGTCGAGTAATGCATTCATCTTTTCTCATTCGCGCCTCGGCCCATCGTTAAAAGGCATATCGAATTTGCCACATGATTACATGCCGTTTCCCCCCGTAACCCCCTCACCTCCTCCTGTCTCTCATCTTCGGAAATACGTTTTATTTTTTTTCAATAAGATTTTATCACACACACACACACACACACACACATGCATCAGAGTACGTTGATTCTCATCCGATTAAATTCTTCGTGCAAAAAACCCTTGTATCGATTTAATTGCAACGAGGGCTATCCCTTTCACGGAGATCACATCGATATCTCGAAACTTCTTTCAGAATATCTATATTATTCCAATTGAAGGGAGAAAGGGAATAAGGGAATGAGAGAGAAAGAGAAAGACGTAGGATCCAGTACGAAAAATTGTGTTGGACAATTTTTTTCTTGACCAGCTTCCAATCGATTCGATCTGATTCGATTCGATCGATAGGTTTCGATCCATCGATCGAATAAATGCCGCGCCCAAAAGGGACACTCCTCCTTTCTCTCTGTTGGATTAATCTGCCGAGTACGACGTTCATATACGAAACCCCCCCTCTTCTACCCCCACCCCCTCAAACGTCGACTTTTATCTGTCACACACAAGTCAAAGATGCTTTCATATTAATTTGTATGAATATCGCATGAGTAAACTTATACTAATACTTATTTCATACATATATATTACATAGACGGTATAATATAATAGATAGACAAAAAAGAAACGCGATTAATGTTTATCATTTTGTTATTAACATTTTATGTTAGACGATTCATCGTTAAATTCCTACGATAGGATAACTTAATAATTGACATTACGAAAGAATAGAGACCATATATGTGTTTGTTCTACATATATGTTATACAGTATATAATACTATACTATATAGATGTAAAATATGTTCATTTATAAATATGTATATGTACCTACGTGGTGGAGAAAGGAGAATGCAAGTAGAATGTATCTTTGGATATAACTCAATCCGACGTGGAAAGAAGTGTAAAAATGGAAGGTAAAATAACAAAAATAACAAAAAAAATAAAAGAGAGAGAGAGAAAGATAGACAAAAAGAAAATATAATAATAATAATAATAATAATAATAATAATAATAATAATAATAATAACGAAAAGTCAACTGTGATTTAAAGTTTTCTCATAAATATGCAACCGATCCTTTCGTAAGTGAATGCACGCGCCAATTATGCACGCACGCTCCCTCAGTTGACTTTATTTTTGGCACCTACATTTCGTGGAATTAAAAAAAAAAGTAAAGGAAAGAAAAGAGAAGAAAAAATATTGAAGAAAAATCAGTGAAGAAATTTTTCTCTCGATTTACTTTTAAAAAAAAACCTTTTGTATATCAGACACTTGAATATAACTCGACGGGTTTTGATGATGGGTAATTTTCGATAGGAGGACGCGTAATAGCTACATAATAGTCAGCTTAAATGCTACCATAGTTCATGCACCTCCTCCTCCTCCTGCTACTCCTCCTCCTTCTCCTCCTCTTCGTCGTCATCGTATTTTCATGCCGGAAGAACTGCACTGATTTTGACGACGACCAGATGAAAGTTCCTAAGATCTCTTCCTTGTCCTTCTAAATTTGCCTCGCCTAATACGAAACATATATATATATACACATATGTGTGATGCATGCATATATGTAAATATATATGTAAATGAAATAAGAGAAAGAGAGAATGAATGTGAGTGAGAGAAAATAGGAAGAAAACAAGAAATCAAAAAGAAAAAGATAGAAAGAGAGAGAGAGAGATAGCAAGACTCTTATTACGATGAACAACCATAACACTATGACAAGAAAAGCTTTTACTCAGGGACGTTTATACATTTCGCGAGAAAACATCGTATGTGTTCACCTATATCGAGAAATGTTACGCTCTCGTTACGCTTCGTTTTCTAATTTGTTACGGTATTGGTTGTTTTGTACCATTGGTTTTGTTCTTTTTAAACTAATCTTCATTTAAAACGTCCATAAACATGTGTTAGTATATTTAGGATCAAGTCAATTATAATAAATAACTCTTGAAAATGAAGTAATTTGGTTTGCTAAATTATGTGCAATGTTAAAATTACATTTCTCAATTATATTCTGTAGCTTTTTTTTCTTTTTTTTTTTTTTTTGTTCATAATTCTTCTATTAATACACTCGAACGTGTTCTTAACACGTCAGTGTGGTGACTGACATTGAACTTCCAGTTCAAGCCGTGTCAGTCACTTGTGCCTGACGTTAACCTTTCGTTTTGCCACGCGTGGCCTGACGAAAAGTTTCGTAAGAGTTCGTGTGGCACTCAACGTGTTAAAGAAGTTCCCGTCAGGACACATTCATTTTCAAAGAAAGTTCTCCGTCAGGCCACGCGCACCACTTAGAAATATCATGGAACCAGCTGTCAGTCATCAGTGATTGACACGGTCTAAACGGAAAGTCTAGTGTCAGTCACCGATGGCTGACGTGACATTCAACGTGTTAAATGACTTCTTGAATTATTCTAAAGTATCTAATAAATAAAAATTTGAATTAATTATTAACTAATGTATCCAATTATATATATACACATATATATTCTTGATATCTTTATACGAGATATCATGACGTTTATAAATAATAATAAGAATGAGTAATAATTTCGCAGATTGAAATGAACATGAGAGTTTGCGCATTACACGTATGCACAACACAATTCTCTCTCTCGGTTATTCCCGTAGAGAGATGAACGATACATTACCCCCCTTTTACTATATACGTCCGGATGAAGATAATAATGAAAAGAAGTAACAAGAGATGCTTATCGCGGATGTACCGTGGAAAAAAAAAATAAAAAGGAAAAAAGAGAGGAAAAAAAAATCCGTTCTATAAAAGGCGTGCCTTCAATCGCATCCTTCTTCCTTTTTATGCACGATCGAATATCTATCAAATGTCGCGAATCAAAAATACGAAAAAAAATCAACGTCAATATTTTTTTTTTATTTTTTTTTCACGTATATGTAAATATTTTATTTTAATCCAAATTTTCATTATATATAATAATTAATTAATTAGTAATTTTTATGTAAAAAATATACTTAAAATAAGTATATTTATTTATATAATAATATAATATTTAATTATAAATAATATAATAATATAATAATATATAAAATAAATAAATAAATATATATATTATAATTATTATTATTTATTATTAATTATAATTAATTATTAATATTATATTTTACATTTATATATATAATTATAATTATATTATAATTAATATAATTAATTTATTATTTATTATTATAATAATAATATTTATTATATATTAAATAAATTATTATTGAAAATTAAATATTAATTAAATAATAAAAATTAATAAAATTATAATAATAATTATGTATATAAATTAATTTTTATATAGTGTATATATTTATTTTATATATTTATACAAAATATTATATTATATAATATTATATAAAGTATATAAATTATTTTAAATATAAAAAAATAAGTATATATATTATAATTAAAATTGTTTAATTATTACATTGTAGAAACTCAATAATTAATGAAATAAAAAATGAATAATTTTTACAGTTATCAGTGATTTCAATCGAGAGTCATCTGATCGATGGGATCTTCACGGAACCGACCTTAGAACCAGGTTATAATCTTGTGGCTACGGTACCACGAGGTGCTGTGGCATTGAACGTGACCGAGTTACGTCACACGCAAAATTATTTAGGTGAGTAAACGTAAATGTGTTAGGGAATCTCTCTTTGATTCATTTGCATAATATTTATCTTGTCGGGATGATCGTTAAATATATTCAGTAAACTTTTCCTTTCGTCGAACACGTACGAATTAATCCTCTCAAGTTGATTCTCGTTCTCGAACACCAAATACGATATATTGCATGAACATATATATATATGTAACTTGATGATTCTAATAGGGTCAAGGGGTGTGGTTGTCGTTTAACAAGTAAGCAAGGTAATACCTTATATTAGTCTCTTACCACGAATGAATTATAAATCATACGTTCAACTGCAATCCTCCTCTTTACCATCATTTCATTTTAAGTAAGAACAACAAAACAGCATCATTTTATTTGAATAGTTGCATCGTCGTCGTTGCGTGCGTGATGTAAGATCACATTCAAAAGTATAATATTTTCTCTATATAATTATATATATTTTCCCTCTCTACCCTTTCATCAAATTGAAATGTTTAACAATAGTTATTGTTGGAAGAAAAAAAAAATAAAAATTAATAAAAAAAAAAAAAATCATAGAAGAATAGACGATTCTTATTTGGATAAGAACTACAATATGTTTTCTTTATTATCCTATCTGAAGAGATACTTATCTCTTAAATTTTATCTAGTGAAACGACACACCGAGCGTGTTGTCGAGCATTTTAATTTGTCTCGTATCGTGTAATCCAATCCCTCTCTCTTCGTTCTCGACAAACACAAGAGACAGTTAGAAACGACATAGTGTGTCTGTCTCTCACTCTTTCTAAATTGGATGCAGTGGTTGTCCCATAGTGTTGTCACGTGGATTACATAAATCTTACGATCGTAGGTTCTTCGATTCTCGTCTACGTTTATCGTACGAGATCATTGATCCCACTCATTTACTCCCAATGATTGCCATCTTCTATTGTATTTATTTCACACATACATAAATACATGAGATGAGATGAGATAAAATGAGATGAGATCGCAACCTCATAACATTTGAATATTTTTGTCGAAATTTGTAATAATTTATGATATCATTATATTATATCAGCTATCAGATTGCAAAATGGCAGTTATTTGCTCAACGGTAACTACAGCATCAATTGGTCCGGTGAATACAACGCAGCTGGCACAACATTCCTATACATACGGCAAAGCCAACAAAATTTGGAAAGTTTTTCAGCCGCTGGTCCGTTGCACGAACCCATCGATGTTATGGTAAGAACTAAATCCCTCCTTATAACCATTCAACGATTTTACCATACTGTTGCACGAACGAACGAACAAAAAATAAGCAAAAATTTTGGAATATAACGAGCCAATTTGGTATTATTTATAATCCTGTTTTCGCGATAAGAATTCTCCTTCTCCTTCTGTGTTTACGTAGAAAAGAAAGAAAAAAAAAAGAGAAAAAGATATTAAACGAGAATGCCAAGAATTCCTCGATATTTTATGATGACCGTAGGCTACCAAACACGAAGATCTAACTTTCGATCTTAAGAAAAATGTACCTCTCTCTCTCTCTCTCTCTTTCTCTTTCTTTCTATATCTTTATCTATTTCTCATAATTCTTATTTTTCCCATTCCTCTTACTTTACTTAGCATTTTTCAAATTGATCCGCTTTATTTTATATAGGTGCTGTATCAAGAGCCCAATCCTGGTATAGTTTACCGTTATATCATTCCTGGAAGTAGTACCGCCAGTGCACCGAGTAATTCTCATCTCACTCGCAATACAGGTAAAGATTTCTTACGTAACATCAACCCGTCGTCGTCGTCGTCGTCGTGATGCATGCAATGCAATGTAAACGCACGCGTGCATGTAATTATTCTCCCTTTCGCTGTGTTTAGTAACGTATTATAAAATCGCGATTATTATATTGGATTTTCCGATAAGTTCGTGACGATTTTGACGGAAGATTGAAATGCAACGCATTGAAGTTTCTTTATTGATATATATTTATTAAATTATATATAAGTGCCATTTTGTTCCACAACCTTTTCCTCCATCTTTAAAGATAACATCACAATTTCATCCTTCTAGAACTTCTCAGGTTTTTTTTAGCAAAAGAACGTTATGCTACCTACCGAAAATCGAAGCACGAACATTCCGAACAATTCAATATCAACAATAATCCTAAGAAAATAATTATAATATTTTTTTGTTTTGTTCATTTTGTCATTCCAGAAATAAATCGAATAATAATAATAATAATAATAATAATAGTAATAATAATTCATTTTCAGTTTTAAATAGATCGAACGAAGCATCAGCACCATCAGCAAGTACTTTGTTAAGAAAGTAAGAAAACAATGTATTTACTTTGTTAGAGTTCACAATTTGCATCAAACAATGTCAGTCATTAATTTTGAAACAAAACAAAATATTTCTATTGTTTGTCTCTTGGTTTACTCGTAGAACGAATGGTACTATCACCAATGCATTGACAACTATCGACGATTCAGCTATAAATGGCTCGTACATTCCTAGGCGATACAAAAAACGAAAATTTGCATGGAAACCTGCCGGTTATACGGAATGCAATAAATCCTGTGGCGGAGGTATATCTCTAAATGATTATAATTTATATATATATTATATAAAATCTAAGTGGTAAGATAAATATAGATATACGAGATAATTCTAAACGAGGGGGACTGAAGGTAGAGTGGAAAAAAATATAAATAGACAAAAAAGAAACTTTGAACTAAACTAAATTACGAGTTAAGTGATATTTCCCGTGGTATAGTTTCGATAAATAATTTGTTTAGGTATCCAAACGATGAGATACATGTGTATCAGAGAACATATACAGGCACAGGTACCCGATAAAAGGTGTCACATGTTGGAAAAGCCACGAGAAGTTCGATTGAAGTGTAACACCAATCTCTGTCCACCCGTGTGAGCATAAAAGATTATAATCTTGGAATTAGAATATAATAGAAGATAGAAAAAAAGGAATAAAAACAAAGTTTTTTTTTTTTTAATGGTTGTTTGTTAGATGGAGACCAACAGCATGGAGCCAATGCTCGGTCAGCTGTGGTACCGGCGTTCGTATACGAGATATGGAATGCGTTCAAGAGATCAAACCGACCTTAACGGTAATTGTATCCGAGGGTGCTTGCACTGAACCAAGAAATTTACCTATCAGCGAAACGTGCAACGAACAACCTTGCGAACAAGATAACAGAAAAATATCGGATGGAGGTGAACAGTCCTTCAACTGGATTGTTGGATCCTGGTCCGAGGTATCACCTTTTTTCTTTTATTATTTATTTATTTTTCTATATAAACTAAAAATAATAATATACATATATATTTAAAAAAAAATATAATAAAAAATATATTAATAAAAAAATAATATAAATATAATATATAATAAAATAAAAATAATTAAATAAAAAATATAATATATAATATAATATATATAAATAACCAAATTTAATTATAATTAAATATATAACTTCTTTTAAAATAATAGATTTGCTAATAAATTTAAGAATAAATGAGCCAATTTGATTTATTAATAATTTGATTACTGCTTATATGTAAAATTTAATTATCCAAACTTTCCCTACCATTTATTTTACGAACAGTGTTCGACGACGTGTGGGGCAGGTAAAAGAACGAGACTCGTAACGTGCGAACGAGAAGAATACTTTTGTAACACAGCAGAGAAACCGATTTCTCAAGAGGTTTGCGATTTGGGCCCTTGCACCGTGAAATTTTCTTCAAGCAATGCAATTTCGTTGACCGAGCCAAGGGGAACAACCACCACCACAACCACCATCACTTCTCAATGGCTTTATACCGAATGGTCTGAACAGGTTTGTAATATTGTATAATTTATATTATTACGTTTCAAATAAATTCTATTGAATAAAATGATTTTTTTTTCTTCAGTGTTCTGCTGAATGTGGAATTGGTATGCAAAGTAGAAGAGTATTTTGTGAAAAATATTCTGACGAGGAATGCGATCGTACGAATCGTCCAGAATCATCCAGATCATGTTCGAGTAACATAACGTGCAGTGGACAATGGTTTGTCGGACCATGGTCTGAGGTTTGTGTCGTTCAAATATATTCATTCTATTTTTTTTTCTTTTAAATTATTAACCCGTTTAAAAAAAAAAAAACTTTGACGATTTAATTCGTACAACAATTGCACACGTTTGCATGAGTACAATAATTGTAAGTAATACATTTTTTTGTTAACACTTTAATGGCCGTACGTATGCGCAGTCAAACGTCGTCAAGGGGGCCCGGTAATATTTTTCAAGAATTAATTTTAAAAAAAAACTTTATTGTCATTCACGAAAAAATAAACATAAAACAAAAAACAACAAATTTATTTTTATATATAATTTTAAATATATATATATAAAGTTATAAATAAAATAACGGCCAATGTTCCGGCTATCACACACATGTTATGTGAGCGGCCATTAAAGTGTTAATGAACTTTACCATAAATAGAACGTTAAAAGTATTTGATTAAATAATTACACACAAAAAAAACATTAAAACAGTGTTCTTCGAATTGCGATTTTGGCGAAAAAACGAGAGAAGCCGTATGCGTTACTACAATACGCGGTGCATTACGTGTTGTCCTTGATATGAATTGTCCTGCGAATAAACCGGAAACGAGAAAATCATGTAGAGGTCCACCTTGCTCGTACGCTTGGTTTACGTCCGACTGGAGCGAGGTGATTACTTTAACAAATTGTTTTTTTTCATTATTCTTTCAATTCAATAATTTATGTCTAAAAAGTGTTATCATTATTTTTCAGTGTTCTCGTTCGTGTGGTAAAGGAATACAGAGAAGAGAAGTCAAATGTTTATCACCGGAAAATACATCGAACGAGTATCATCATCAAATACATTGCTACGAAGAAGATCGTCCTGTTTCTCGACGAACCTGCAATGATTATCCTTGCAAAAATGATACTAACAATTCGGAAAATCTTCCAAGAGTATCGCAAGTTCAAGATGATCCAGAGATATACAATGGTGTGAATGATATATTGCATTTGTACAAATAATTATTTGTATTTGTTTTTTCTTTTAAGAATTAATTGTTTCAGGTCTCGAAGATAATCCATTTTGCAAGGACAACATACCGAATTGTGCATTGGTGATTCAAGCACGTCTATGCACTTATCAATTTTATCAACGATCGTGTTGTCTTTCTTGTTCCAGAGCTAAACACGAACCGGAATGAGATAAACGAGTAAAACAACCATATGAAAACAACAAATAAGATATTATTATTAATTAATATAAATTGGTGTAAAAAAAAAAAAAACAAAGATAATGTGATTAGTGAAATTTAGTTTTAACCAACGATGCATTTAAAATTCAACGATCGTGAAAGTAAGATAAAGAAATTACACGCGAATCGAATTAAACGCGATGCAATATTCAGTCTTCCAACAAGTCGTATGTTTTTTTTTTTTTTTTTTTTTTGGTTCTGTACCATCATTACATGTGGTTGCACTTTATTTTACATCTAACCTTGATCAATTTTTTTTTTTTTTTTATTAGTAAAAGATGCTTTCTACGTTTACTCACAGTAGTGGCTTAATCATTTAATCATTGTGTCTATGTTAAAAGGTCACGAGAAAAATGATACGATTTTAAATGACGCTTTTCAAGTATCAATGAAGTTTACCGACGTTGCAATTTCTTTCGATGTTAATCTGTCACTGTCAAATATTTATTATATATCATTATAGTAATATTAATTTGTAAGGATTCGAATCTATTTGCGAAACTGTACGAAATATTATTTAGTTTTAAAATGATGGTGAAAATATTCAAATGTGACGTCACTCCGCTTTTTATTTCTTTCTTTCTTTTTTTTTTTTTGGTTCTCTGTCATATATCTAATCGCAAGTTGTACGGGCTAATTAATTAATTAAGAGAAGATAACACACGTGTAGGAAGGAATACGACGATTCCCTTTAGGAGAATATTACAGTATTATATAATGACGTAATTAATATATTGAATAAAAAAAGAAAAAAAAATATATATATTAAATATAATATTTAACAATAATACAATTGTTTAAAGTTTCAATTAACTATTTACATAAAAAAAATATTCACACCGTTGCACCATTAATTATGTAATAAATTATATATACACTCATACAAAAACAATCATACAAAAGATATCCAAACATTCGATCTTATCGATGGATAAACATAATCCAACGATGACCATTATCATATTTATTATCCTACTTAAAAAATGACTTCAATTACTTTTACCTCGCCCTTCTATGTTTCTTCTTGACCCTTTGTTTTTTGATTTAGATTAATGGCTATAAACACACACATGATGGATATGGGCGTTAAATTCTAGACAAATAATTACGTTCGAGTTACTTCACTGTCAATGTTATCCTTGCTAGAAATGGTACCGTTATCGTGATTCTTGTAAGCAGAGAAAAATGCTAGTGCCTTCATTAACTGATAACTCTTGCTGATTGGAATATTACTATCATAGAGACTCTTCGATGATGAACAATCAACGTAGAACCACCAGTTGCATTTTAAGATCGTTTGATCGAACAAAGTTGATTCAGGACACAGAAAACTCTTCATGATCAAACCGTCATCGGTTAACGCGCATACGTGGAAAACCTAAATGAAATGAGAGAAATGGATCGTTGATTAAATTTATTATTAAATATATTATAAAATTAATATATATATTTACCATACATCCCAAATCTTCGTCGGCGTAAAGACCCGGGAAATGTTTTTGATCACCGCAATAAAAACTGGTGTCGGGTAGATCAACGCGACTTGCAAAATTATCGTCGAAATTTTTATCGTATCCAATAGGATAATATTCGTTCGGTGCGTTCATTACTTTCGTAGCACCTGAATTGGTGGTGTATTTGCTGAAAAACAAAAACGAGATATGATTTTCATTAAATACGATCCACAATGATACATTAATTATAATTATAAAAGTCATATTTAAATGAAAATACTTTTTAACGAGTGGTGAAATAGTTGTAGTAGTTGTAGTTGTACTGGTTGTACTACTAGGTCCCTGCTGTTTCTGCATAAGTTGTTGCTGTCTCAAAAGGATAGCTGCCTCTAAAGCTTCTAACGTGATGTTACTTGCCTCAGCTAAAGCTTTCAATGATGTTTCCATACCTTGGATCGGTGCTAACGAAGGTAAAGAAGCTGGTAACGATTGTCGTTTTTCATTTTGTTGTAATGGTAAACTTAGTGACGATTCGGCTGCATTACTGATCGGTTGCAACGATAGCAGGGTCATTTTGTTAACAGAAGATGCTGCTTCTTCTCCTGGTAACGGAAGCTATATCATAGGAAACCAGGTATATACATATATATATATTTCTTATTAGTCGTATAATTAGCGATCCTTTTTTAAGATTTCATAACGTGTAATACCTGATTATAATCATCCTTAGGTACTTCATTATCAGAATCATCAAGTAACGTAGCACTATTGCTGATCCTATCGGTAAGCTTGGAAGATGATTGAGGCATGGCGATGAAAGGTGGTAACCCGTTACTAGTCACGGACGTCATTGCCAATGAAACAGGTTTTAAATGATCACTTTGCACCATATTTCCTATCGATGAAACTACGACACTTGGGGGAGCCTTCGTTGTCGTTGCTACTGCTATTGCTGCCTATTCGTATAATTCACACAAATAACATTTAATATAAAATTCAAAATATTATTATTTAAAAAATAAAAACAACAAACCTGTATCCTTTTAGTTTGCATCGCTAGGATCTGCTTTTGTTGTTGAATCATCATCTGTTGTTTCTGTTGTTGTTGTTGTTGATTCAATAATTGTTGTTGCTTGTATTGCTGTTGCATCTTTTGTAAATGCTGTTGACGCATAGCTTCCTGTTGCTGTTGTCTCTGTTGTTTCAATACTTGCAACGCCAATGCCTCCTGTTGTAACTTTTGTTGTTGCTTCGATTTTGCCTCCTGCTGTTGTTGCTGATATTTTATCATATCATCGTGAGTACCCAAGGAAGGTGCAGCTATCGTTCTAAGTGCCGTTGTATTTTGTTGAACCACCAATTTTTGACGTTCCGGTTGTTGACCCATTGGACGACTCATTCCAACTGGCAAAGGTTTGAAAGGTGGCACGACTTGTCTTGCTTTTTGTTGATTGTCATTCCGATTTGTTGCCTGTTTATTCATTGTTTTTATAAACAAAATTTATGATTATAAGAGTTAAATAAATGTTAAAAGTATTAATCGAGATTGCATACGAGTACCTTTGATCATTTTACCTCTGTCTAAAGATCATGGGGAATGAAAGTAGTTCGACAAGATTATGTATATATACATATATATTTTTTCTAATCAATTTTAAGGTGACTTCACACGACCCCGTGACTCCCCTTTTTATCTCATATAAAGATCATCATCTTGCATAGCGTTCTATTTAATAACGGACATTGATTGTAATCTTTATTAATGCATTATTCATCCATCTTCAATGGTATTAATATTTCTCGTAAGAAATATTACGAATACATGGTGAGAATCAAGTACGTAAATTGAGTACACGCACGTGAATGAAGCTGTATCGATACATTCATACACCAATTGCTTACAAGGCCGATTCTAGTTGCATCGTAAACGAGTATTAAACCACCTTACATTTAATTATCTTGCGAAATATGTTAGAAATGAATTATTTCGAATTTTGTTGAAATATTTAACTATTAATATCTGTACTATTTTTTTAATTTAAATACTCAAAAAATTACACGCAAGTTGATAGTAAAAAAAAACATTCGATAAAAATAAAATACTTCTCTGTATTTCTGTGTATGCGTATGTATATATGTGGTTTCTCTCGTTTCACGAATGTTAATGAATGTAATTAATTCAACTCTGAGAGCAAGCAGACAAGGAATGAAGTTCGAACGAGAATTGCGGTAGTCGTGTGTTACGCCACAGTAAAGAACACAACATGTACACAAATACATACAAACAAGAATATATATGTCGTGTTAAATTGTAAATCTACGAAATGGAAGACGGGTTCGAAACACGGTTTTATCGATGCTATTTATTTCTCGTTAAGAACTTATTTTGCAAAGGAGTAAACGGTAGACAGGGGGAAAAAGAGAAGGGTCTTACAGATTTACGCCTAATCACGTCGTTTTATGGCGTTGACATATCCTATTTTTAAGAATTTATTTTTATCGTTTTTTTCATATATATATATTTATATATAGTATAAATATTTTATTTTATTTTTAAAGAGAAATTATCGTAAATTTACGTAAGATTTTAGATTATATTTAACATACATAACGTGATAGGATTGGTTATTCGATGAGATGATTTTGTAACACGAATATACCACATGAGATTTTAATTAAGAAAAAGATTAATTAGTTTTATTTAATTATTAATTATTTCTTACCACATTTGTCGAACCAAGAGAAAGACCAGTAGTCTTTCCAGCTTGTACGCTTCTTCTTCTTGCACTTTCAACGTTCGATAATGATTCCCTAAATCCTAGTTCATCACCTACAGTAAATCCTGCAAGAATAAATGACAATAAAGAAAGAAAAGGAAAATATAATTTTGTACATTAAAGTGTTCGTTCTATTCTCGTCCCTTTTTAATTATTCTATAGTTGAATTAATCGAACGATTTTGAAGAAGAAGAAGTTGTGGACAGGAAAGAAAAGTTAAGTATAGAAAGGGTTAACAACCGTGTTCCCATAAACAATGAAAAAATGGTTAAACAAGCAAATAATACAATCCGCGTTTGAATGACAGTTTTGCATAAATATATATTTTCTAATGTTTGATCATTTTGTTTTACTATTTATACTTGTTCTTCTAATACGTCGGAAGAGTATACAGTAGAATAAACGTAAGAAACTTATGTATTCTTTTCTCGACACAACTCGGTCAAGTCAAGGTAATGAATAAATCATATCCGTAAATGCATTTTTTTTTTTTTTTAATTTCTTTTTACGTTCGTTTGCAAAAGCAAGATCAAAGTATGTCAGAGGGTAACATCTGTAAACTCGCGAGCCTGATAATAAACGCAGCTGCATTTCACACTTATTCATACATATGTATATGTTTTATTATCTTATGTACCTGTCTCTATGTAAATATGTACCTAAATACTTGAGTTTGAAATCTTAAAAAACGTATTGACACTTGACTTCCATTATCATATGCATCTCATTTCGTAAATAGTGTCACACTCGAGTTAAGTTCTTTCACTTCCGATATTAACATCCTATTTATTATTTTTCTATTTTCTTTTTTTTTTATAAGGAAACAGACAATTGTCATTTGTGAATGACATAACAGTAATAATAATTTGTATGTTACATTCTTTTTTTTTTTTTAAGCAATATTATATCCACCCTTTTCCGGTAAATTCGTTCGACCCGATCGGTATATAATTTCTTAGAAACGTGAAATTTATGCACACGTAAGTTATCAAAGGGAAAATGAAATAATATCGTTTCGTTGTGATATATATATGTATATATATGTATATAGTATGACGGAAGAATCACGATTTTAACTTTCTACGTCTATCATCGTAGTTGTTCGAGTTAAACGCGTAACGATGATTATTATTACTGCTGATTCTGAATGCGGTTGACGTAAACCAAATACAAATCTCCGTTGGTATATGAAATAAAAAAAGAAAAATAAAAATAAATCCACAACCGATGGATTTATTATTCCAGTGAGATAAGCAATAAATATATTATTACGTATACGAATAAAATAAAAAGTAAACTACTCGTAAAATTTAAATCATTTTTTATCAAATAAAAAAAAAACAAAAGGGGAAGAAAATATATAAAACATTCTCGCGAGACGAATTTTCGATGAGACAAATCTCGAATCTCGAAAAATAACATCGATCGTTTGTTTTTACTTTTTCTTTTTTGAAGATAATCAAACGATCCGATCATCGAGATTTTCCACTCACCCAAGCCAAGGTAACCTTTGACACCTCCGAGATTTCGTACCCGGAAGAGGCCGGATTTTTTGAAGGCGCAGTTTAAAGCAAATCCGAAGTCGGATTGAAAGACGCATGTGCCTAGCGTAGCCCGCCACGTGCAGCCTGCAACCAAATCGGAAGAAAACAAAAACTTCATGGATCCCCCTGACTAATGATAATTACAAAACTTTCTTTTTTATCGGGATGATCCATGCAGATGAAAGAAAATGATCTTTTATCTTCATTTTTGTAATATACGACGAATTTGTTCTGTGCTATTGATCCTCCCTTCCCCTCC